AATAAATTCAATAGAAATGTTAATTAAAGTATCAAAATTAAATGCACGTTCTTGCAAAGTTCTGTGAAGTATTTGCAGAATATGATGAGGGGTTGCTTTCCCATTGAAATTTTCCCATAATCTGAAAACAAAACGACAAATTAATTGGGGGCATAAAAGATAGACGAGTTAGATCATTTGGCCGACTATTCAGCGTTCAACGTTGCAGAGTACTGGCAGCTTACGCCACACGACCCATTCAAAAAATTACGGTAGGTTACAGTTACCAGTAGTCTACTTGAAGGCAGTAAAATGTCTCCGCAACAATCCTACAATGTCATTTGTTCTTCTAGCGCAGCTTGGAGCCGAGCAGTAATGCAGTATGGAGCTTGACGGACGAAAAATATTAACCAGAAAATAGAAACGGCCATTGAAGCAAAGTTGGGTCGGCCGGTAATTTCGTCGAATAAATACAACTTTTCATCTGTGACATCATAAGGAACGCCATTGTCAAAGGGTTAATTATTACGATTAGAATGGCCAATTTACTTCGGAAGCAATTCGGAACCGGTATACTCGTCTTCAAAGACAATTTGATGTACTATAAATGTAATTTGGCCAACATGAAAGGATATAAGCATGTCCAGCTATGATTCTACTTCAAAACGCAATCTTCAAAATTTTTCTACCTAAAATATTAGTGAAAATAATAGGTATGTTCCCATAATTGTGTTGGAACTTCTCATAGGGCGCCGAGTTAAATTGCCGAGATCAATAGGCACAAGATGGCGTCCATTGTCTGAGCGTTGCCTCGCTTATATTATATATACGCTTTGGTTCCAGCCATTGAGGTGTATATAACACCTCAATGGTTCCAGCGGACATGTAATTATCTTCCATGAACCGGACTGTGCACGGTAATTTGGAGTCCGATTCCGGGTGCTCAGTACATGCTGTCTTTTCCTACTGATTTTATTGATTATAATACGATATCCGTTTTGTGGTTGCTAAGGCTAACTACGTTTCATCGCGTCAGTTAGTCAGCAATTTTCTTTGTTGGACACGTAGTGGACATAACGATCGTTTCAATATTATGTTGTTCTTGTTCTTTGACACGTTTTTAAAAAGTCGCTTTTCTCTTCGAATACTGGACCAATTGCTTTGAAATTTTCAGTGGTTAAAGATTAATTTTTTCGCTAGAAGGCTATTACTTTTATTTATTTCAAAATTTTGCGTGAATTCTTTGAAATTTGATATTTCGTCTAAAATTTTGCTGTATTTATTTTTTATCCATGGGAACACGGATTTTAGTCAGTGTCATGACTGGCTGTACGTTTTGATTCTGCAAAATTCTTGCTACTGGAAATTCAGAACTTTTTTGAGGGTACAGGTAGCGTCAAAGGTACCGGTAAGGACTGATTCGCTCTGGTCTAACGTGTCCATATATTTGTGCGTAGCTCTCTTGTTGTACTTAGGCTCACCCGACCGTGACGTTACAAAGAAAAAATGACTACTTTAGTCATTTCCCCCCCTATTTGACTCGCACAATATTAAAATTATATTTTCTAAATTGAATTTATCGAGAAAGTCATGATGACATAATTTTTATTTAACACTTGTTACTCTGTCGGCAACGGCAGATTACCGTATCTAAAAGCATATACTTAATATTTTCATTATTGTGCATGCGTTATCCAACTCAATTTCTGTGGTGTGGCTTATTCCAACTATTGAATTAATGTTTCTTTTCTCGAATTTAAATGTTATTGATTTTCTGTAACTGTAAACAGATAAAATAATTTTCCTGTTTTGTGGTTGCTAACTACGCTTTATCGCGTCATGTTAATAAGCAATCTCCTTGTTGTATTTACGTACACCGACCATGACGTTACAAAGCAAAAGTGAGTTCCTATTTGACTCGCGCAATATTTAATTTATATTTCCAAAATTGGATTTATTCAGCAAGTCATGATGATATAATTTTTATTTAGTAACGTTTGTTTGATTTCATCTGCTTTTCAACTCAGCAAACAAGGTGTCGCTGACACGATGACTTACTTTATAGACTTTCGCGGCCCCGCGTCATTTGCGGAAATATTGTATGTTTGTTTATTTTGTATTTTTATTATTATGTTTGCTTAATTTTGTGTGTACAATATTTCAAGCACGACGAAATAAATATCTGAATCTGCATTCATTGCGATTCTTCGCCTTGTTTCGTTATTGCTGATTATGAATGGATTCAATTCTTACTCAGAGAGCGGGTATGAACTTTCACATAACAAGCAAAAATCCACCAATCACAACCATTATAGCAATATTTCCCAACCCGAGTTGAGACCGCAGACTATCAGAATACCTGGTAACATGTGACTTGGACACGTCACGTCAATCGCGCCTCGCTGAATCCAAAGTGACACTTTGGCTGAATCAAACGATTGGATTGCACAACGCACTTGCGGGTTTCTGACTAAAACACACAGGTACAGTCTACAGCAGGGGTGGGCAAATTACGGCCCGCGGGCCGGATCCGGCCCACTTTAGCGTTTTATCCGGCCCACTTGTTCGTGCTGAAATTAGGTTATAGTTTTCATGCATGAAAATTATCGTTGAAGAGATCGGAGAAACAACAAATCGTCCGCAAATGTAAATATAGTAATTACCATCTGAATAATTTCTGTACAATAATTCAAAAACGCCAGCTCCTGACATATCCGCATTTCAGTCTGCATTTTGCTACGCGCGTTTGGGTCGGGGGGATTGAGTTAAAATCGCTGATAGTTACTTCAGCATGTCATGGGTATTTAAGACGTGAACATCAGTAATATATCGATAAACTATATTACAGGGAATTATCCCTGTATTATGAGGACGTCGAGAAAAGGATTTCCTTGGAACTGTGCGTGAAGTGTGCAAAACTCCTTATTGTATGGTCATCTGAAACGAGAGACTAAATACAAACTAAAAATTTAATCCGCAAATCCAATTAGAAAATGAGGAAGTGATTATTGTAAAAAAGGAGCGGAGTCATAAGATATATATATATATATATCACAAAATATAATGCAGAACATGGTAAATCCCAAAAATTTCGTTATTTTTCATCGGATCGGAAACTATAGCAAATCCCAGCGGTTCCCAAATATGTGTTTGTGCTACGCCATATCGCCGCATTATTACTTATCGATCTTAAGATCGGTAAGTATATTGATAGGTATTTGTCTGTATGTATGTCTGTCTGTATGTATGTCTGTCTGTATGTATGTCTGTCTGTTAGATGCACGCGATATCTCACGAAAGCGAGATTGAATCTGCTCCAGATTTTGCATGTGCATTCATCTTATCTCGGACCAGTAGCCTATTGATTTTGGGCGAATTATGTCGTATAATTAGCGAGTTATCAATCAATTATTGATATAGTGATCTAGATTTTTGTAAAGCGAGAGAATTTTGAAACCCGCCGAGTGTGTGTGTGCGATGCGCAGTGCGCAAGTTACAAGAGCGGATGAATCGAAACTGCAGTTTCTGTTTTGGGGGATCCCCTAACTATCGATCGATAAGTCTTCGGTTTCCAACCGATATTCTCGTTCAAAGTTGCAATGCTTTTACTTTATCGTATTGAATTGTACTCGTATTTTGCAAATGGTGATTTCTCAAAAATAATCTTAAGTGTCTCAAATTAATCAAATGACCATGATCGCTCCTTTTCTTAATATATAATATATTAAATTGATATGGCAAGACATTTTTAATTCTCGTATTAGTCTTGAACTGAATATTTTGCGCAACAGAAAAACCATCAACGGTGAAAAAGTCGGCAATTTCAACAAATGGGTAATCACGACGACTGTTGCCATTGGAATTTCCGTTTCCTATTTTGGATACAAAATAAAATCAATCAAATAACACTTGCCTCCTAAATCCCAAGTTACAGTAATTTTGTTCGTAAACGACAGGAATGCGCACCATTTATTCTCTTTGATTTGAATAATCTATTTGTCAAAGACGGTCACCATGACCGCAATTGTTACATTGTGCTATCTTCATTATTAACGTTATCCTAACCCATTAGCCCAGTTGTTAAGCTTCTTTTCCTATCAACTTTCTTTGCGCTGCTGCCGTAATTTGCCAGCCCCTGTAATAACGGCCCATTGATCATTGTGTCTAGGACTCTAGGTACTGATCATACTGAATTTTGATCATCCGGCCCAGTAACCAAGTCTGTTATCCACATCCGGCCCACTCAGGAAAGTAATTGCCCACCCCTGGTCTACAGGTACTTTTCGCTTACGTTAAAATTGAGTGTTATATTTATGTTTTTTTTATCTATTTGTTTCTTGTAACTCCATTGTTTCACATCTTTTAGTGGGTCATTTGGTAAAACTCGAATCACCAATGCAAATAACAAAAAAGTAACATTATAAAAATTTCTGAGCGGAATATTAATTTCAATATAAAATACCATTATGTGAATTCCATCAGATTTCAACAGATACGCAGTAACAACATTTCAGAGGTTTTGTTTTGAAGCAAAAATAACATATACTCGATAGAAAAATACAAACAGAAAAATGACAGCGAATTCAGGAGCCAGCCATAAAGTTTGTCTAATTGTACGAAGGCGATAGAAACATTCAAAGCCGACACGAAAGATTATAATCAGAATGAATTGATTTGAAAATTTTAGTTTCAAATTCCTTCTTATGATTTCCTCAGCGAATCGTCACGAGTGATCGCAAATTAGCTTCTGAGTTTGTCTGAGCGAGCAGTTCTCGATGTCTCAATGATGGAGCACCCTCGCTATGGTTCCCATTGAAATTTGTGAATGTGGATGATAAACTGACTTCGTTAAAATTCTGTTGTTTCTGGTTTTGTTGTTTCTGGTTTTATTGCTTCTTCATACAGAGTTCGGTTACACAATTACCGCACCTTGAGTCCGCAAAGATTTCCCACGGTGAAAAAATAGTCCGCGACCAAAAAAGGCTGGGAAACGCTGCATTATAGATATGAAATACTATATATTATTGCTACAAAAATCACAATAGATTTATTATCCAATTAAAGGAAAAGTGATAACATCCAAAGTAGAGACTGACGATGTATACACAAATTTACAAAAAGCTTGCATTGTTGACGTGAAAATTGTAACCTATATAGGTGTGAAAAAAGCATTTTCATAAGCACGAAATTAGCAATAAAGGTGTTGAACGAAGATAAACGGTGGTGATGGATAATGAGGGAAATATAAATTCAGACACTAGCTATGACTGAACTAGCACTAGCTATAACTGAAACTGTTGAAAGGGATTGATTACCTGTTCTCTTGTGGCTATAACCATAGCTTAGTAAATAGGTAGTGGATTTTTAAGGTAGGAGATTTAAAGTGTAATATATCTGTTGTATATCGGGCTAATGATAATTTGGAACAAATTCCTAAAATTAATGACTTTACTTGTTTGGACCTGGCTAGAGTAATCGAATATTCATCACTTCGCTCCTGGAGACAATGATCGAGAACCCACTTTTATGGCCATTACGTCCATGCTGGGTAAAGTAGAAGGTTGCTGACTAAACACAACAATAAAATTCTCGCATCCATACCATCCCATATTTAATACGAACATGTTTAGAACTCGGCTTATTATGGAATATGCCAAAATGGGTAGAAATTCCGGATTCCAATTCTAAAGTATAATTCGAAACAAAATTCCTTATTAATATCCAATCATTTTCAGTGCAGAGCATTACATTTTGCCACTCTGTGCCTAATAAATTTACAGTGTAAAGTGCGAGAATGAGAAATGCAATAAAATTATCTTACTATACAAAATACAACTATTGCAATCATGAAATGCATCAGCTACACAGTGGAAAATTAGATAACATTAAAGCAATTGAAGTTGGACATACTAGCTTATTTAAATATGGGATTAATAGCAAACAATAAAATTCATAATTCATTGATTAGAAAATATTTGGTGGTTGCAAAATTGATGAAATGCCACAATGAAAGCTTCAATATGTAAAAAAGCAATATTTCTATATCTCATTGATGGAACATCTATCGCATGTTATTATGCCACTCAATGTTTTTGAAAGAAATTGTCACACCTTTACATATGAATATTAGCGTTCAGATTATCAGAGCACATCCGTAATGTAAAATAAATATATAATCATGTGTAAATGAAAGAATTTGATTTTTAATACCAGCAAGAATATTATTTTAGCCAAATGATCTATGGAAACTATTTTGTTTAAAATGAAACAAAGTTTTTATTTGCCTCAGACACTATATTATTAGTGGTGGTTTTTGATTGGCCGAGTGCTACAAATATTTAGTTTATATAGTTAAAGTTACATTACATATAGAATGCTAAGTTTTACATAAAAGTAATCAGGACATATATATAAAAAATTAAATTTCTATGATTAAAGAATATAACTGCATCTAAGCAAAATCACATGCGCTCAAATTTTAATTCTGTATCTTGCTTGTACATGCATGATACAAAATAAATTTGAGACAAGAAGTAAGAATGATTAAATTATTGGATAAAAACAAAAAATCTCAATTGCAAGTCATTTTAGAAATTCTTTCAAATGCTCTATGTGAATAATACCTTCATGTATATTTTGATATAACAATGCGAGGAAAAAAACATTGATCCAGATATATGGCACATTTAAAATACCTTATTATTGTTAGAAATTATATCTACCAACAAGTATGAGTTATGTATAAACATGCTTCAATGCCATATACTATTAATAGCCCATCCTCTACCTCAATGGGCGACTAATTCCTTTAAAACCAGGACTGAAGAAGCGTAGATGTGTTTTGGTAGTATTGAAATCATGCTTTGGAAATCTGGTTTGGATATTTTCATTTTGGTTAAAAATGAGGTTGATCTCAATACATATTAAAAAAATTGGAGCCCAAAAAATATAGGCACCAAGATGGCGCACATCCTGAACATAGTATGTGTACCAGGTTAGGGTTCAGGTTGTGTGCCATCTTGGTGCACATACTTCGGGAGTACCAAAAATGAGTACCCCACCGCCCGAATTTCAGACATCCGAAAGTCGGGAGTGAGAGTCCGAATTTTCAACTGGAAAAAGCTAATATTCGCTAATATAAAAGTTTTATAGTTGAAGTTGTTTATAATATAATGGGGTCCACATTTTTTTGCATTCGGAGTAGTAGAGAGACACACAATTGTGAACTTAATTTACCCAAAGTTTGATTTGTATTTCATAATAGCTCAGAATGAAGAGCTGAATTAAATTTTCTTTTTGCCCCTTAGCTTTAAAAAGTGTAATAGTAGAATCTTCTTCACATAAAGTACTACATATTTTGGTGCTTCCAAAGTATGTGCACCAAGATGGCGCACAACCTGATAACCATAACCTACCTAACCTGGTAGGTTGGGGTTGTGCTCCATCTTGGTGCACATACTTCAGGAGCACCCATATTTTAAACGAATACAGATAAATTAATCAAAGTTTCCAGCTAATTCCTGTTCAGTTTCCATCCGAATTTCTTCCAAAAAACTAGTTTTTCTTCTCAACATTTTATTCTGTTGTTCCTGGTACATTTTCCTTTTCTGTTCCACTTCTTCCTCTTCTCTCTTTTTTACAATTGAAGCGTGAGATTCAGAACGAAGCGGGTCAATCTAGAATTTGAAATTAGAGGTTTGTATCGTTAAAGTCATTGTGGAATTAAAATGCTGAAAATCGTCTCAATTTCTCTGTATGCGTTGAATCAGAATTTTGTATCAAAATTTGAGAATCAAATTGAAGTAGAGAAATATATTTATTAGGTATATGTGAAAACAGGCACTTCCCTGCAGAATACTGTAAACTTCATGATTGCCCAATAAATCTAACTCGAATGGCATTGCAGAAAACCTTAGTTTGAGTCATGATATTTCAATAAGATTTATCACAGGCGGTAAATGTTCACCTGGCAAATTGCAAATTTGTTTTAATAATTCAGAAAACTATGAACTGGTATTCGTTTCTATCCAATCACAAATCTCTCTGCAGTTTTACATACAAACTCAAACATCACTCGTAAATTCAAACATAACTAACTTCATCTTCTGATTCCGAAGAACTGCTTGATGACGATGATGAGGAAGAACTAGATGAAGATTTGCTAAAGAAGAAAGTAAAAATAACTCAACAGCACCGGTCACTAAAACATAAACTATAAAGTGAGAAAGACACTTTGAAACTTTATCTAATATCCTGAAAAGGAAATCAACTATCAGTCAGTGAATTAAGGTTGTGACAATACATATTCATCTAATATTATCAACAATATTAAGAAATTGACCAATGATAATATTTGCCCGCATTTTCTTCATGATCGAAAACACAGGATAAAAAATCTACCACACCTAAAATAACAAATTCATACCTATTTATCTTTCCCATTTTTACTTCATAAGCCTTGATGAAGTCCAACACGTTCTTGTGGTGATTTTGTTTTGCCAAGTCAGCTACAGATCTATAATCAAAAATGGGGAATTCATGGCTATTACAGAATAGTATTTTTCCCACTACATACATGTATCATATGTCATTGGTTCCTAATCGTTTAATCCTAGTTTTCAAATTTCTAGCTATTATATTAGAAAACTCGAAGGTAAAGGCCGTATTATTAGGAGGCTAAAATATTTAATAAGTACTGTTATTATTTGTTGCATTTTTATTGTTGACATGGAGTATATAAGTGTATGCTAGGTATATAAGTTTATTTTGACTCCATAATAAGCATCAGACGATAAAAAAATTGATAAAATGATAAATTGAGGGGAATAAAATGAGAAAAATATTCAAAATTTTTCGATTAACCTTCCATTATTATCTTTCGCTCTATATTCTACTCTATTGTTAATCAACCATTTCACAACATCTAACTGTCCACTCATAGATGCCAAATGCAATGGTGTTTGTCCTTCCACATTTCTGGATTCCACTGAAACTCCCATGGATTTTAATATCTACAATACAAAATGTGGCAACAGTAAACGTGACAGCTTGTTAAAGAAGTAAAAATCACAACCATCAATTTTAAAAACCAAGGCATTGCTTATAATTCTGAAAACAAATGTATATGACCTTCCAGTGTATGGGTTTTAGAATACCACAGGGTAACAGATAACATGAATAAATGGTGCTCCAGAAGTGTTTGTACCAATATGGAGGTAACTAATTTTGTTTGCCTACTTTACATCAAATCGTGTAAAGGGACAGACAGTCCCCGAACTCGTAGCCGTAATAGAACTAAAATAAGGAAAATCGGATTAAAATTATGGCCTAACGCTAACCTGTTACACACTACGGGAGTATCAATAAATGCCTATAAAGACAACAGATAATGCATGTATGCCATGTATTCAAACATTAGACAACTAAAAAAATTATAACTATACAGTATTAAATTAAGGTTTTCGCCGGTGAGAAAATAGTCCGCGACCAAAAAAGGTTGGGAAACGCTGACATATAGTGTAATCATAAAATACAATATTATTATTATTTTTGGTCATTTCTGGATGACACAAAATTAAAAAGTAGATATACTCCTGCTTACCATCATGCAATTAACATGTCCATTCATAGCAGCAAGATGCATAGCAGTATATCCTGTCATTGTTTCTGAGTTCAAGTTGACGCGTCTCGCCGCAAGGTACTGTAAAAAAATATGCCAATTTTAAAGTGAATATAAATAATACAAAACTCGACGAACCATGCTAATCATTAGAAACCTCCTATTGCACCACTGGTTACTTTTAAGCAGGTTGGAATCCCATGGTGGATAATTATGTGAGATAAGATTGTTCGAATTCCGCCATTGTAGGGTAGTCCACATGAACGTATGTAGGTTACGAGTTACGACTACCTCCACCATAAAATGATTAACTATTCTCATTCTCGACTTGAACAAGTAACAGGACAAGTGGATGTGGTTCGACATGCGGTTAAGTCATCTTATAGACGCTACTTGCTCTTAGGATAAATATGAAAATCGTATCATATTATTAAAATATCATAACTTTATACCTTGATTATTCTCAATCTTCCATTAGCAGCAGCGACGTGTAGAGGAGTCCAATCTTTTTCATCAAGAGTACTAGATTAGACAAAAAATATTTTTCCTTTTCTGTTTACTTTTTATAGATCGGAAATAACACAAAAACATGTGTATAACTTTTGATTGATTATGACTTTTTTCAATAAAACCACAACTATGTATCAAAAATAACTGGAATTGAACCAGTACCCTTACATAGCATTGTCTGATAACTGGATGATAAACCCCAATTTGTCATATCATTAAGCCACCTTGCAGATTTTTATCATGAATGAATGAATAAGGTAAATGATAGATTCTCCTCTCTGTAGCAAATTGAGTACTAACTTTATGAAATGGTTAAATTCAGGATATGATTCACCGACAAGAATTATTTGATAACACAACATGCTCTGATGATCATAGATGAACACATGTATGGTAGCCTATACAAGACCAATTCCTTGCTGAATAATGTTTGCTATTTTTAGAATATAGATTTTCATGAGATTTCCTTTCCCAATAAAAACATGGAATAACAATCTAACTCACTCTTTCAAATGTGGAATTCGTTCGACCAATTCTCGCACTCTGTCAAAATCATCATCAAGTACAGACTGATGAATATCTTTTCCTCTCAACAAAATTTCTTCCGCAGTTTCCTCTTCTTCAGATGAAGATGAAGAAGATGATGATGAACTACTAGAACTGCTTTTCTCCTTCGTTTCCAATTGTTTTTCTTCCGCAACTATCACAGGCGCTGTTTCCTCAACTGAGTATGAAGGCTCTGGAGGGATAACCGTTTCCTGCTAAATAGAGATAGTGATTATAATATCTTTTTAGTTCATTCGAAGTAGATGAATTAAAATGAAAATCACCATTTACAAAATTTGAATTCACTGAAGAGTGGAGAAATAAAAAAATAAAAAATTACTAATTTAAAAATAGCTTTCAAGTGAGTAAGACACTTGAAAGTATCATCAGGCATCCCCTAAAGATGAATAACAAATGTGATGCGAACAAATCATTATCAAAGTAGAATTTTATCTAGGTAAGATCAACAAAATCTTCATTATATATCGAGATTGCATTAGATGCCTCACATGCCCTCTTTATCAATTTCATGCTGGTATCATATGTACATTATATATAAATCAATAAAAAAACATTTCTGCAGTGTTTCCTAACCCATTGTTTACCATTCAGTTTGTTAGAGTCTATATACCTGATATCTATTGATTTCTGTGGTGTACACTATAAATACAAATCTATGCAAGCTTTGATTGGGTATTCAACTGGTCTTTATTATAATTCGTTTCTTATTGCATATAAATGTGAAATAAAATTCATTCATCCACTGTTCAGAAGTGAACTGTTTTTTTTTTATAATTTACCTCAATATGAACTTTCAAAATATCACCATCTTGTTCAATCTTAGTTGTTGTTTCTTTAGTTATAGATTCAGATTGAGAAATTGGTTGTTGGTCTACAGTTGATGCAGCCAAAATATTACTCAGTAATGGAGTTTCAGCTGAAAATAATCATAAGCTTCGGATTAGAAATTCAGTAAAGTTTCCAAAATTACGAAATATGAAAAATTGTAAATTATGGTTAAATATGAATATTTGTAAGTAAAAGAGCGAACCAATGATCACCAACTTGTGACGCAACTAGTTAGTGCCACCTCATTAATCACCCGGCCAGAGCCCCAGGAAAACACAGAAAGCCCCAGGGAAATTTTGGGGGTCTCTGAACTTGGCAGGCTTGTTAATTAAAGTACCTTTGAAAAGATGACAACTATATAAACCAGATTATAATGGGCTAACACAAGATTTTATTTACAGGAACGAACCAGGTTTGTATCCTTAAAACTATTCAAGTTGTTCAATTTTCAAAAATTTAATGATACTTTGAAATTATTTCTTTTGAGTGGCCTATCCATACAAGGAAATGTTCTTGAGAGAGCCCATATTATATCAGTATCCCACTTCATTACCGCAATTTCTGTGTGCAGTTTTGATAAGAAACTTTGTTTCTAGTCGAGACCACCTGTACAAAGTGTTTATTCGGTATATTCCACAACTTACAGGCAAATCACCAAATGAGTTCACACCACTGAAAAGGTTGGGAACCACAGTGCTAGTCAATTTTTATACGCTCTATACACGCAGACACTGATATCTATCGATATGCAAGGAAATACTATTTATTTGGAAAGACAGTTCTTACTTCGTTCTGTTTCTCTTCTTTCGGTATTCTCATCCTCATCTTCACTTGATGAAGACGAAGACAATTCTTTATGAGAACCACCAGATGAAGAAGATGACAGTTCATCAGAAGAATCTTTACTTTGTTGGTTTTCTTCAGACACAATTGGCATGACTTCAACTTTTTGGGCCTGAAATATTAGAAAGAAGATGTAGAGGTTAAAAAATAAGAAATTGTCAGTAGAACTACTATATTATTGTAATTATTTTAGTTGAATTTGCATCAGAGAAAATTTCCTATCTTAATACAACGAAATACATCAAATTGAAATTATGAATTGGGTTGTGCGAGACTAACTACCGGTACCTATCCTTCCTCTATGCCTTTATGCTAGTGGATTCGTATGCGTATACTGCAAGGATGCTGTGGCAGGAATAAACATGACTACACGATTCAATTCAGAATTCCTGCTGCACACTAACACAAATGTATTTCTGTAACGTTTCGAATCGTCTGGGGAAGTCTGACTTTGGTCGGACGAAACATTACAGAAATCCATTTGTGTTAGTGTGCAGCTGGACTCTTGAATTGCATAGTATACTTCGAAATAGCAGCAAAAAAAATTCACTGTAATATGCATCTCTAAGAACCAAATACTTCAACAACCAAACAAATCATCAGTTATATCCCATTGCTCGCACACAAAAGATGAACTTTAATAGTGTCTACCAATCCATGAAAGACTAATTAGTATCCATTAACATTTATCATTACTTAACATACTTCTATAAATTTGGTTCGTTCTGATTTACTCTAGTTCTTTAGATACACCTAATATATCTGAATATCTTACTATTCTGGAAATTTGATCAGAAAATGATTTTAAATGATATGAGAACTATTTAGCATTAGTATTGTGATATATGCTGAATTTCACTCTAGCAAAAATTGAAAAAAACTATGATTCCATTCCAAGAATGATAAATACAACAAATCAAAAAGAACAGTAGATTATAGAAATCGTCTTCAGATATTCTATTTTTCAAAAGTTTTTATTCAGCAAAAGAAAGCTAAACCAATAATGGTGGCATTCACTATTACCTGATGTACTTCTGCAACTTCGTTCTCAGGTGTTTCAGATATTCCAGCCGTAGCAGTGATAAGATACTCTGGATTCATAGGAGCAGCCACACTGACACGTGTTGGATGTTCAAATTCAACTGATGCCAATGACAATTTTCTCTTTGCTATTTCTGGTGTGGGCTGATCGGCTAGAATGTCTGAAATATTTGAAAAGATCAATCAGATGGATAATGATATATGCTATTACTATAAGTGATACTTTATCCCATTGTAATGAATTTTTTCCTACCCTAAAATTAGTGGCATTTAATTACATGTTTTTTCAATCATATGTTTTATGCCTTCGCTCTTCCAATGAAGTTATTGAAATTTATCTACTGATACAAATGGAGCCACTGTGTTTTTATAAAGACCAGAATATATTGATCCGGCTCAACACAATTCTTCTTAGGTGAATATTTTGAACTTGAGATATCTTATCAGTGAAGTGTTTATAGTACCACACAACAAGCTAACTATCCTGTCTATAGAATGGGGATCGTTTTTAAGCATAAAATTGCACAAAATATACTGGGAAAAAGTTCTGGTAGACAATATAATAAAGTAAAATAAAGGGTCATCTGCATGGAAATTCAAGCGACATAGTTCAATCATCAGTATGGAGATGTAAGCAAGTTGAAGTAGGAATGAATTTAAACGCTTTTAGGGTGAATAGCAACAGCTAGTGAGTGATCAATTTCCATTTTTGCAAAAATATAAATATTTTTAAAGGTTACATATTTTTCATATCTATAAAACTACCAATGCCTGTGAATTTCTATTAGTATTCATTTTATTGAAACTTTTTCATTTTTGTGCATGGCAGTGTGTCAGAATAATGAGCCAACATATTCATATCACCTTCATCTGAATCAGAACTGCTGCTACTACTTGATGATGACGATGATTCAGATTTGGAATCAACGTTTTCATACATTTTATCACTGGTTTTTTTCAATGGTATTTGTGCTTCTTCAGTTTGATGAACTGATGCTTCTACTGTAGTTGTAGGTGCTGAAACCAAATAGGTAGTGAATTTAGTTGAAGAGTTCATATTTCATGTGAAAGCCTATTTTTCTGTTTTTTTTATGCCGTTTTCAAACTCATATCAAGCAGTCATGTTTTAGGACTGACATTTTTCTGGTTTAAAAGTGCATACCCAATATATTACACCCTGAGGTAGTGGGTCTGGTATTCCCGTGAAGGATAATTGTGTGTAATGGAATTTCTGCACTCCTCGCCGTTGTGCGGTGGTTCAGGTAACCACTGGTTAATTATAGCTTTTTACCCCATCAAATTCATGTAACTGACCCAAATAACTGGCTAACTAATCCCATACCCTATATGGACTGGTAGGTGACCGGATAAGAAGCCATGGTATGGCATATGATTAAGCTGTCTTTTCAAGATTCCTCTCCCCGGAATGAATAAGAAATTATTTTTTATCTTGACCTGCGACAACGATATAGTTAAGTCGACTACTCCAACCACTCACCATGACACCCATGTTTCCCATATACAACAGTTGGCTATTTCAAAATAATATTTCAGGTAATGAATTTTTTTATTTTTTCTGTAACTGGATTTTTTTAACGTAAACTATAATAAATAAAATAAAGTAAATGAATTGAAATTACTTCAAAAGTAGATTTTAAGGATACCGCACCATCTGGTCATCTGAATATAAACTACAAACAAGTGGGAAATAGATTCTTCCAAAATTGTTTATTAAAAAATATATATATCACCATACCGGAGTAGATTATAGGATCATTAGCATGAAGATTCTCTTCCAAATTCGTCCCTATTTCTGTACCACCAGCAGACAATAACAAATCCTCAGCAGCATTATTAGTGTTGGATAATTCTTCATCAACTGTTTTTTTCTTGATTGTGTGTTCTGAAACATTAAGAAAATTATTACAGTATGAATTTACGAATTGCAAAACCAAAAATTCAATTTTGAGCTCCATGTTTATGAGACTATAATTTTTTGATTTCGCAACATTTTATCTATGTATACCCAATATATAGAATAGAATTTACATATTTATCCCAAGGAAGAGGAAAGACGGCCACGGCCTCTCGTCCGGTTACTATTCCATGTCGGGTATGGGATTAGGTATTTATTCGTTTTCGGAAGCATGGACTTGATGGTGGAAGAAGCCGTAACTTACCAGCGGTTACGTGAACCACCCTACGGCGGCAAGGAGTCCAGCTGTCCTCTCGCACATAACCATCCCTGCGGAGTCCAGCTGTCCTCTCGCACATAACCATCTCTGCATGGGATTTGAACCTGTAAACCCACCCAGAGTAATCAGAAGTGCGGTGGCGAGCACATTCCTAACGCTTATTACGATGAGCCCCCCCACCACGCTAACCATACCCAAGATTGGGTACACATCAAAATATTATAAATATCACCGGCTGTTCAAACTGTATTTTTAAGACTTTTGAATGTTTGCAATAAATAGGGAGGAAATCAAGAATTCAAAAAAATAATACGAGTGAAAAAATTCAGAATTTAAATTCTGCTATTTTTGTCATGAAATTTAGAGTATGATTATGACGAATTTTATTAGAATTCAAAATAGAAGCCGCATTGTAAGACTGCGTTTTGACATCCCTCGTCAAAGTTGGCAATAATATTTCGTATTTTTAAACGATATATAAAATATCTCACCATCTTCTGAACTTTCAGACTCACTGCTTGATGACGATTCATCGTGCTCAGAAATTGATTTGGTTTGAAAGGTGCTTTCATTTCCCACACCTTGAACTTCATATGAAGCAATTACTTCTGGTTTAGCAACTTGAAATAAAAATAAATCTTAAGTTTGGAAGACGCTTTAACCAGATATAAACACTGAATATCCACATTCTGGTAATATGGTATTCTACAGGTTAAGGTTCGATTTCTAAATATATCCTGAATATAAAGTTTAGGGCACTATTCAATTTGTCTGATGTCTTGTTTTAACGAAAAATATTGGAAATTTTGTCTCTGAATTCTTTTGACATCTCTAATCTGATTGGAGTGAAAGATTCTCAAGTAAAAAGGAAGTTGGTGTAAGGTACTGTCGATAAATTTTTCATGATGCAAAAATACATTCTAATACCAATTAGAAACTTTCAAAGAAATCGTCATTGCAAAAAAGTTCCTTTCCAATGAAGCATTTAATAAATATGTGAAAGCACATCGAAAAAAACTTTGAATTAGCAGATATCACATGAATAAGTCTACGATACTGAATGATACATGAATCAAAAGTACCTGCCAGAGTTAAAGGTTGCACAATTTCATTTGATTTTTCGTTCCCAATATCATCATTAATTTTTTTTCTGATCTCTTCATCATCACTGCTTGATGACGATTCGCTCTCACTTCCTTTATTCAATTCAAAAAGTGAAGCCTTTCTTTGATTTTTCGCAGGATTCGCTCTATCACCTTCAGAGAACGAAGATGACGAACTCGATGAAGATTTTAACACGTCATCTAAATCATGAGAAACTTTAGCTGTTTGTGGATCGGGAATGTCAATTTTCTTCTCCTCGACCGAATCGATCGAGGTACTACTACTACTTAGCCGTAAATCCATTGTGAAATTTTTTCTCGTCGATTCTGCGACAGGTATATCTTCTTTCTCTGATACTGATTCGCCACTGGATGATGATTCTGATGACGAATTCTTTTTTGATTCAGTTTTGATGCGCGGACTCTCACTTCTTTCCAATTTTGGAATTGGTTTCGGAACCTCTTCGATGGAAACTTCAGATATTGTTGAATCAGAATCCGATGAAGTTGAAGAGTCGACACTTTCTTCAACAGGACTTTGCTCAATTTTTTTCTTAAGTTTTCCTTCATCATCCACAGGCTTGCTACTATCACTACTGTATTCAATAGTACTTTCAGATTTTTCATCACTAGATGATGAACTTCTCTTTTTTGCCCATTTTCTATAATAAAAAGTGAAGTGTATTGTTGAGGTTAATATGAAAAGGACAGTAAGTGAATTCACAAGGAAAATTTAATATATAGGCTACCCAGATAACCAATATAACCAAGTACTGAGGCATGACGCCAAGGCTGTCCATACCCAAAACAATTAATATTCTAGAATTCAGGTCTCCAATTAATTATAATTTTGAATAATCTGACATATAACCCTAGCATCTTAAAAGATCAAATGACAAGATATTCCTATATTTTAAAATGATTGGCTGACACAATGAGTGGCGAGGATCGCAATACGATTTAGTTATCTTTCAATATGGAAAAAAAATTTGACCCTTCCTATTTTACAACAATATTATATTCTAGTAAAATGTAATATTTTATTTATAAAAATAAGTAAATTTTCAGCATCGTCTTTTTACATCATAAAATAGAGTCAGTTTGGCCAAACAAGATAAAGAACAAAAAATAAAACTTGAGAAACATTCAAAGCATTTAGGTCAAACAAAATAATATTAAGAACACTAAATTTTAAAATTTACGATTCAAAATCACTGTTTTTCAATTTCACAAACATTCATATTACCCATCATCCACAGCTTTGTTTTTGCTAGTTTCAGTTGTCTTCATTTTGGTTGTTTTGGTTTTTATTTTCTTTCGAATAACCATTTTCGAATTGCTTCTTTCATCATCGGATTCGCTTCCACTATCGCTAGAGTCACTAGTATGACTAGCATCCCTACTTCTACGTCTATGCCTGTGTCTCCGTTTATTTTTATCTCTTGTACCATGAGAGGATCTGAAAAGAAAAATAAAACTATTTATGGAAAGAATTTCAAGTTCAACATTGCCTATCCAATTTAATACACTTTGACTACTAAAATCATGATATATACCGAATTTAAATGAATAAATTTGACATAAGCATGATTTCACTGTAAAATGGTGAATAATACGGAAAAATTCAGAACTTTTTTATAACATATTGATTTCAAATTTTGTTTTATTAAGGATGATGAACAACACTGAATATCTAATTCTGGAAAAAAAAATTTCAAATTTCAACTACAAAATATTAAACTCATTGTAAATAAGGACATGTTCAAATGAGAACATATTATAACAACCTGTATTAGATGATGCAAAAAGTCAATGATTTCCTTGGTGGTCTACCTATTATAGCATACAGAAATTGAATGATAGCTTTTGTGAACGTACTGTGAGACTTCATTTATCAAAACGACGATTTGTTAATATTATTATTCAGAATTAGTTCTGAATCATGAATTTGAAATTTGGACATTCTTGATTAACACCAAACTCATTGCCTTGGTCAATTTCTGCAGACTATACTTTATAACTATGTATTAGCTATCATGAAGATGGTCATTAAAAATACAAACTATAAAATATATGCAAGAAATTGACAACCCAGACTGAACGATTTTGAAAAATTTTAACTCACCTTAAAGAAGTATTAGTAGAATGAGAAGAACTAGAAGCAGAGCTCGATTTCAACTTTTTCTTCCTTATATCTCGATGATCAGAAGTATCATGACTTGATGCTGAAGAATGTGATCGCGTAGAAGATTTCCTACTACCAGCAGAATCTGGAGTTAGAGATCTGGCAACTGTGAAACACGATTAGGATAGGATTTTTTTCCTGTTTGTCGGGGGGAGAGGAAAGGGTATAATATGGATATTAATATGGGTATTTTGATCAGAAATCAAATTACCTTTCTCTTTTTTCAATTTCAAAAATCTGAAAGTCTTTTTATCTTTGGATTTTCCAGAAAACCATCTTCTGCATGGAAATTCCCAGGTTTCATTTTCTGATCTAACTTCAACTTTGTCAACAAACCAACTGAAATCTAAAATATACATATTCCTCAATGTTTATATAATGTTTAAAAAATAAGAAAATTCAATTTAAAATATTCCAGCTGAATGAACACAAATTAATATTGCATTTTTGAAAATTTCAAATATGAAATTTCCGAACCAAACTGTATGTACAATTCTATTTGTTATCATCAAAGCACTCCAAATACATTTTAACATTTCATATAAATTGGGATCCAAAATTGAATTACATCGTTACAGGATGACACCAAAAAATAAACCAATAAACTACTTCTGCAAAAATGAAAAATTTTATTTAACACTTAAATTTCTGTTTGTGTATCATTGTACCCAAAAGTTTTAGTAATCTAGGACGCTTCGCAGAAAAGTTATGTTTTCACAAGACTATGTTCAAAATATATTTTTCTGGTCATCTTGTATATTACCTCTCTCATTTTGATCATGACCAATTCCTATATGCTTTAATGATCCTACATCATCTGCTTCAATATTGAACTCATCGACCTGAACATAAAATGAATATTGTATTCAACGTTAAACAAGTCCAAGTGAAAGTGACATTTCTGGCACATCTAGCATCTTCTTCACAGAAGAAAATAAAACTCATAGAATCGTTGAAATTAGAAATTGCTTTTGTTAATGTCCTGAGCGTTGATTAGTAATTGCACTTGTAAATATAATTTAAAGAAACGTGTTATTGAACATTCTACAGTTTTATAAAATAGCAAACAGATCAGGTATCATGATCCCACAACATTAAGAAATGAATACAATGCATGCAAAAGTAAAGAAAGTAACATTGATATGTCATAAATGGCTAAAAGAGCTTACATAGTAGATAGCTAAGTCGTGATTAGATCAATTAATGTGAGACTTTAATTTAGCTTGGACAAGAAATATTGATAGTGAAATCCATACACTAGGACTAGCTTACACACTGGCATAAATTCTCAAGATTTCAATGAACATACACAAATTTTGGTGCTCCGGAAGTATGTGGAGCTAACTAAGTTGTGTAAAGGGAGTGAAGACTTCGGGCAAGGGGTATATACACTTGGCTACCACAAACAGTCCCCGAACTCATAATAGCACTAAAATAAGGAAAATCGGAAAAAAATTATGGCCTAACCGTAATCTTGTACACATACTATGTGAGCACCCAAATTTAGGCGCTCCAGAAGCGTATGTATGTACCAATATAGAAGTAATATAACTAATTTTGTTCGCCTTCTTCACATCAAGTTGTATAAAGGAACTGAAACCTATGGGTAGAGGGTATATTCACTGGGCTAACACAGACAGTCACCCAACTTGCAATAGAAAAATAAGGGAAATCGCAATAAAATTATGGCCTAACCCTAACCTGGTACATATACTACAGGAGTATCCACATTTCAACAGACAACAACTATAGCGGAAATCATAATATATTTGTTAATAACTTCACATTGAGTATATATAAGTATAACATAAGTAATGTGAAAAACGAGAACATACCTGTCCCCTTTTGAATGGTCTTGTTCCAGCAACATTTTCAGTTAGAAATATTTCTTCAGTTTTTCTGTTTTGGCCATCTAATACAACATAAACATCAGCTCTTGTTCCAGCACCTGATTTATCTCCCGTCCATATTTGAATGTTGTATTTGCGAATATCAGGCTTTGACTGAAAATAAAAAAGAATGATAAAATTGGGAGATATAGTGGTTTTAAAATCTAACTTGATTTTCAACATATCATGCAGTGCATTTGGAACAGACTTACCATTGATTTGGTCATAATATTTTGTTGTTGCCAGGTTTGAATCCCTAGGGCAGTGGTCCCAGAAAAGGGGCAATTTGCTAAGTGCGCTCCGAAAATTAACAGAATTGTTTCAAACATAACTAATATAGGTTTGAAAATTTTACATATTGTATTGCTTATAAATGTTTTATTGTTTCTTATTTTTAAATGCTGAGTATATAAATTAATAAATTCATTTCAACTTTCTATGTCGTTTACTTTCTGTTTTGCAGTGTCTGCCTCTATTGTTATGTAGTAATAGAGACAGACACTACTTGCTGCAATTTTGGGAGCTGCAGTTTGTTTATTTGCTGAACGGCGTTTGGCGAATATGTGTGATTTTTTAGTAAAAGGAAAATCAGGCAGAGATTAGAAAGAAGACTCGACTTTTTGGGAACCTCTCCCTCAGGTTGTGATTATATGCAAAAGCATTGCTGGCCTCTATATGGACACCAGAGGTGGCTATGTATCTAGAATGATTAATTGTCTAGTGAGGTATTATCATAGCCTCCAAGAATCGGTAACCAATAAAAACATTTTGATTTTCTCTTTTTTGGGATATTCATAGAATATCCTGAATCCTAAATAATAGAACAAAACTATAAGAGTGATGGTAACATTTTCTGTCATTCAATTAATGGTAGCCACATAACAGTGTTGTATAGGGTATTATAGCATCTTATTGTAAAAAAAATTGACAGTGTTTCTTTTATTAGAACCAAGGCTGTTGGAATAAAATAAAATGCAGTATTGTAATCACCTGAATGCTATATGACTAACTGAAGAAACAACAGTTCAAATCCACCAACAAACACTGAAATAAAAATCACATGACTTTCAGAACCGACCTTCACTTTGCTTCTCTTTGTATCCGTTTGTGAACCGACATATTCAGTAGTTTGTGTCGCAATATCAATTGCAAATCCATAATCCAGATGAGATGGACGTTTCGGTGGTGGTGATGGCTAAAAATAAAATGAATATAGATAAAATATTATGTTAAAAAACGATATATGCATTCAAATTAAATTTCATGTACCGACAAATTGTGTTACGGTAGTAAAAAAATTAAATGCCGAGGATTCTGATGATAACTCCATATATGACATAGAGATAAAAGATTCTGTCAAACTTGTGTACATTCTCAACAAATAAATATCATGACCAAGGTAAAATAAATGAAAAAGTGGATTGCCAATGACATGTGTGTCAAATACATCTTCCTAGTTCCTACAAATAGATCACCAAAACTAGCATGCATATTTTCCTGCAATTTGCAAAGCTAAATTCTATTAATGGAAATAATATATGCATATGACAAATACAATGAATGTGTGATGAGGTAACTGTTATATAATGACGTGATTTGTTGTCATGCAATTTGTGATCATAATCTAACCTCCTGATATCCATATGGAACATAAATAACATCAGCTGACAGAGGTCTGCTTCTAGAATCTCTTTTCGTATAATATTGTGGAAGTGTTCTTGGTCCTTTGGCTGACATTGGTCTTCCAGGTCTGAGAACAAACAAAAAAATAAGTTAATTTCAGGTTTTAGGAAGATTTATCACAGGAGAGAAGAAAGTCGATGATATGGATTAATCATACGCCGAACCACAGCATCTCGTCTGGTTACCAGTCCATGTCAGGTATGAGAATAGTTGATCAGTCATTTTTACGAAGGTATAACCTTGATAGAGGAGAAAGCCACAACCGTCCAGGGGCTACATGAACCCCCCTACGATAGCGAGGAGTCCAGTAATCATTTCGCACAGTGAATTTGAATCTGCTAACCCATGAAGGGGTGCGTTGCCGAGTCTGTTACTAACACTTAGCTGAATATGCCATTGCCATTCATCGAGCCGCTTCGAAATTTAATTGAACTTAATTAATTGACTGTATAGTATTCAGCATAAAAAGTGAAATATAATAAATATTCATACTGATATTCGTAATAACAAAACCAACTAAGTAAGCAAAAAAACCTTGGAAATTCAGACTTCCTTCCAGAATAGTTGCGGATATCAAGAGAAGATGAAGTTGAAACAGTGGTTGATGAATCATCTGAAAATCTTCTATTCTGTTGTTTGTGATAAACTACAGGAACTCGTCGGCCATGAACGTCCCATGCATATCTGAGGTAGAATAATGGAGTCAGCTTACAACTGTTGTAACTGAATATCAAAAATGGGCATGAACCAAAACAGCCAGATACTCGACCTGACTGTTACATAATATATCTCGTACCAAGTATTGCCCTCATGACTTGCGAATTTGATATGTAAAATTACTGATAAATTAAGCGACCTTTCTATTTTTCATCTAGTGTGTTTTGTATTGCTAAATCTGTATATAACGTGTGCCACGCCCACAAGGATGATTGTATATAATGAAGTCAATAGCAACAAAAGATTAAACAAGGACAGGGAACTCCAAATCAAAGACTCAATTATTAAAACTGATTCTAACCCATTTTCAAATTGCTACCATCTTGGTTTTGTCAGTAAATAGTTATTGTTTTTTCCCGATAATTATCAGGATCGCCAAAAAGAAGATACAATAATTTTATCAAAAATTCTAACCCTGTTTAAACTTGTACATGCGTGGAAACAAATTGAACTGACTTAGTACTCCATACATGATCTGGAATAAAAACGGCAAGGGGCAGTATTTCGCCATATGAGTAGTGAGTGTTTTTATCTTTTATCTAGCACAAAGATAATTTGATACATCATCCTATCTAACAAATAGGATAAAGAAAATTGAAAAAAAAAATTGTTTTTTATACAAGGCTAAGTTTTTTACCTTGGTCTTCTAACTCTTCTTTTTTCGTTAGTTGAACTTGATGAATATCTTCCTCTGCTTGTCTGAGGACGTTCTGGTATTCCGTGCAAATGATCAGAATCTCGTATTGCTTGATTTCGATGTGCATGAGGAAGATATGTCGGAGCTGACTTGGGACGTTGTTTATGATGACGTGATGAATCATGATGATATTGCTCATTCAAAATCTCTTGAGCTAACGCAACAGTTTCCTAAACAGGTATATGAATTAAAATTGAGCTAGTAGTTATGTATTAAAAAAACAAGGAAAAATCTACAGTGTCATATTATGCTCAAACATTGACTATTGATATAATACGTTGCCAAGATACGGACCCCCATTAGCCTTCAATGTTTCAAAGATGGACAACTGGGCGCTCCAGAAATGTGTGTACCAATATGGAGGTAACTAATTTTGTTCGCCTACTTTACCACAAGTTGTGTAAAGGGACTGAAACCAATGAGACTATGGTATATTCACTTAGCTAACACAGACAGTCCCCAAACACCGTAATAGAACTAAAATATGGAAATCGGAATAAAATTATGCCCTAACCCAACCCGGTACACACACTACGTTAAATACTGACAACTGAGCTGATAAAAAAAGGATTTTTGATTCAAACAATTCATTGTTTTTATAAGATGTTGTTTTCATGCCTCCATTGTTCTTAGCATGGTTGGCTAAATTCAAAAGCCTTTATCAAATTACTGGACCAAATTTGGCTTTTGATTTAAGATTGCTTGTCCGCACTGAAACCTAGCTTAATCTTCCTGATTTTTTATTGATGTTGGATCATTACATTCGTAATGCTCTCCTTCAAGATCACTTTCTTCTATAGTGTAATTTATTTTTCTTGAGAAATAAGGAAATGCTAATATCTCTGTCTCCATTATTTTTTTATCAATTTTTTTCTTTACATAAGTAACCTAATTTTCTTCTCATAGTTGATGTTTGTTTTACAGTGTTCTTTTACTGTTTATGGTGATAACTTTATGGTTAAGTTATGATCGCTATAAAGATACCTATGAATTTTGTTTGTCTGCATGTTGTTAAGGACCAAAATAAAATGATTGAATGCACTAATGCAAACTCTTTGAAGTGAGCAATACCAAATTGATAGTTATCAACTGCACAACATGGGTGAATTTTGTGAAATTTGTGTAAAAAATGATTTGAATAAATAAAAATGAAGCAAGAAATCAATTTTAAATAGTAAAATCTTACAGTTGCAACAAGTATCTGACTAGCATGTCCAATAATTCTATTTGCTTCAGATTTGGTCACATGAGGTGAAGTTGTTCTTCTTGAAAATGTAACCGTTCGATCAACTTTTCGATGTAACCTGATAATATGATAAAAAATAATGAATAAATAAAATGTTCTTCCTTTCTCAAAAACATGGGACAAAAATAATAAAATGAGTAGTCAATGCAGAAGTGGAAACAATACTATTTCTTCCGAAATTGAGCCCGCTTCAATAATGTCGGTCAAGAAATCAACTACAAATTCTAGTATGTCTGAAATGTATTTTCATAACATACAATACTAGTTATACTAGTATTAGTAGCCAATATTAGTTATGTATGCTGGTGTGTGGTTTGAATTCGGGGTATTTCAAAATTTATAATTGAAAAATTTTGTATTGCAGAATTTTCATAAAACAACATTTTTCAACCAACCATCTATTTGAAAACATTTGCGTAAGAAAACCATTTTATACCCTTTCTGAACAATGTTTACCAAAAAGTCATATACCTACATAACTATAAAATATGCAGATTTACGAGATTTTTTATAGCATTTTTACAGGACTATTAGTATTGATAGAGCATAGTATTATATAGTATTAAAGTATTGCAGAATTTTCATAAACCACATTTTTCAACCATTTCTATTTGAAAAAATATGAGTAAGAAAACCATTTTATACCCTTTTTGAACAATGTTTACCAAAAAAATTATACACCTACACATAGAATACGCAGATTTTTACGAGATTTTTTACAGCACTTTTACAGAAATGAACTCTTGTAAACAAGCCATTTAACAACTTCGAAAATAATTTTGTAGCCTGTTCAGTATGAGAGTCAAGCGTGCCATTGTATTGTTAGTTGAAGAGGCAATTAGGACGAGTGGAGTGTATTCTTACAAAAGATCTTGGCAAATATGTTCGGTCATTTCTTTAAATAGCAGGTGTGGGAAACCTACTAAGTGGTACATCGAGTGACACAAGATTTTTAAGGACCATGAATAGGCCAAGATAATCAAAAATAGTTTATTTATAACCATATATGATCATTCGTAAATCATGATTATTATTCAATAAAATTCTACAGGCTGATGAATGGTGAAATGGTGAATGCTCTTTAAATAGTTTTTGTTTGTTGAAATCGATATATTTATATATAGTGTATATTGTAAAAGGATCAATTGTAAAATGTTGCTTCATAAAGTTATCCACTTTGTAAATTAAAGGCCTAATTGCATATCCAATCATTAAAAACGTAAATACAATTTTTTATACAAATATCCTAAACTACAAATGAATATTACGGTAATATTGAATCCCATAGCAACAATTTTTAAGACCTTACTTAATAACATTTTGCTCCTTATTTCCGTAGCTTATCTGAATGTAGGTGCTTTTCCATAGTATCATAAAACTTAAATTAAATATTGATGCTTGCAATAACAAAGGCACGGGTGAGTGATTTAATCCACTGAGTGAGTGCTTGTAAGTCGTGACTGTTGTAAAATTACGAAATAGAAAAAGAATTTGCATCTATTTTTCATAAACAATATAAATAATAATTAGAACATTAAAAATTAATTACAAATACATCATTCTTACCTGGAAGCAGTTTCTTTTTCCATACTTCTCAATGCACGAAGTTGAGCAGCATAAGCTTCGTTTTTAATATCAGCATTTGTTAAAACAAAATCCTAAAAAATATAAATATTATAACTGTAAATATTGTGAACAGTTTTTTTTTATTTGCCAACAAACAAAAACCTCATTTAAATGTGGAGAATAAGCATCATTCCTGCCAACTATAGTCCTACATATTTCAAGGGCATTTCAAGCCATTTTCAGAACAGTTGAATTTTAGAAAAATCAGAAACTTGCCAATTCACAATATCATATTTCCTGATCAAGGTCGATAAGTACGTAATGACTATGACAGCTTGCTTAAATTCAGAAAGTACCATTGACAGTAAAAGCAGGGTTTAACTCTAACAATTATTTAATAGGCATGTAACACAAATGCCACATAAAACAAAACCACTGTCACCATAAGTAACACAAGGAAATTATGATTAATTCACTGATTTATTTTAATTAATCACCATATGCCAAGGTCAACGTTTTCAAATGATTGAACAAATATATTACAGACATATTTAAACAACCAAAATAAATCAAATGATTCAATAAATTATGTTTTACGGGATGAGGTAACAATGCGATAAAGTGTCATTCAAAAAGTATTTACAGATTACCAAGCTTCTTGAATTTATGACGGACAAACCAAGCATGACACGCACATTTGTTTGTCTATGTAAAAGTTTAAGATTATTAGCTGAGTTGGCAGAACAAACATCTCAAGTTTTATGACATGTTTACTGTTTTCTTGAAATACATGTTTGACATCTGATGCTGCAAATTCAAACATGATTAAGCTTCTATGTTTGCACAAACATCAGATGCTGGTAATTGATTTTCCAATGCGTTGCTATGTTACGAATAAACTGATATTGTATCTTATCAAGGCCATACTAAACAAATTTAAATCGAGTTCAAAGCATAGCGCTGAATGATTATATCATACCCTCTGCACCTACTGAAATATTCATAATATAAGTATTGAATTTAAGATGGTCCTTGATACAGGTATTTCCATGTATCCAAACTTGATAAATGTTGAAAGTCCATATTACAAGAGTTACATTTTTGTCTCAATCTGTAAACAGTTTTGACGCAGACTTCTGATTTGAAGTCTGGGGTTTGGTACTACCATTTCGTTTGGGAGTTGTAAATTCACTTCCCATTTATTAAAAGCTGGAAGCCAGACTCAGAGTATTCAAATGGAATGAAAAAAACGCCAGCGAACAGCGAGATTTCCTATCCAATATTTTTTTTAAATCGAGAGTAGGAGTAAATGTTTTTTAACATGATGTCAGTGTCAAAAAGCTTTGGGCGCGATGGAGTACTTCAAAACGTTCGACGAAATAAATGAAAAGTAAATAATTTGTAACCTCAAAAGTTGTTCTTTTTCTCATTGTTCTCCGCATATTATGTTTCACGTCTTTCTCCCGTTTTGTACCAGGTGGCATTGCTTCCAAATTTGCAATCTGAGTTCGAATCATTTGTGGAGTGAAATAATGTTTTAAGCTTCTGTCTTGCAGTTTGGCATAATTCACTGTTGAATGCTGCAAAAATGAAAGTTAAATTAATAAGGAAAGGTAAGGAAAATAAATCCTAGTTCAGAATTCCATTCTCACAAATCCACTCCCAACAAATGACACATAGACTATATTACAAAAAAGGTCAAGAATATGATGCATCAGAAAAATTTCCTGTCCATTATGTCATGGTATTTAAATAATTGAATAATGTGACTGTGCGAATGATCATGGTTTCCCAGGCTAGAATGAATGGTGAATAAGTTTTCATTTTTTAAATTCTTATTGATTTTACAGAGCAGGTTCTCATCATCTGCTTTTTGCAAAGCATATAAAATATTCAATATATCAAAAATCAGATGACAAAAGCTATTGCAATGTAATTACTGATATTGATGGTTAGGAGAAATATTATTTCATATAACACCAATCAAGTATGAATCATAGGTAACACACACTAAATAAAGGTTTAACACCATATACCATACTTGATCAATAACATGTTATTAGCAATCCATATATTTGATATTAAATGAATAAATGGTTTCTAGGAGCAACAGACCCTAGTAAGCTTAAAAATATAAGAAAATCATTCTGGTGTTTACAGTGCTATGCACATATTGACATTCAACAAACCAATCCTTCCGAATAACGAGAAAACAGAACGTTGCTTTGTGATAAACTGATTATAATTATGACACTTTAAGTGGTCAGATGAAACTCAAACATGACTTTTCAGATCGTTGTTGAAAAAATTTTTCCGAAAAGGATGCCATATTGACATCTAGCATGACTATAACATAAAAGAACTTTGCTTGTTGTAAACCAAGTTAAAAAATTTGATTTATTTTGAAATTATACACCAATCTGATATGGACTGACAACCAGATATTGCAAAGTGCTTGTTCTGATTAGATTAATAATTGGAAATCCTAATCCAAACTTGAATTATTAAAAAAATGTGGTGAATTTGATATATATTGTTTAGTAAGATTGATATAAAGATAATTTCAGTAATAATAATGATGGTTGAGGCAGTAAGTCATATAAAACAAAAATATTTATAACACAAGCAATTTTACTCCATATTTTACAGTAAGCAAATACTTTATCGGTGGCTATTTAAATACAGACTTTTTAAAAACAAAGATACGGAACACTGAAGAAATATATAATAAATTTGCATTACAAAATATAAACCAAAGTAGAAACTTTACCGTTTTATGTCCACCATTGTAAGATCCTCCTGACACTGGAGAATTTGGTGATGACAGATCGAAACCATCTTCTCTTCTTTTCACATTCATGTAATGTTTTCTGAATATTTAAAAAATAAAATAATATAATGCAAAAAAGACAATTGTAACATTAGAATCCAGGTAATCATAAAAACATTATTATACTATTGAAATTATGCTGCTTAATATCAAAGGTTGTAGAAGAATATTATTCCATCATAATGATGATTTGAGATATATAAGGATGCTGGGTAAATCGTTTTAAAATTTAAAAATGAATTGTAAAAATCAATATTAAAATATGAATTCAAATGTGAATATTAATAAAATATATGGAATATTTGTAAACATAAAAAAACCTAAAAATATGTCATTGAAATGACAATACGTATATTTTAAATCTGATTAATTTTAATACTAAACAACTTTTCGATCTTAATAAATTTGAATTTATGTTACTTACAGTTTGTAAGCAACGGCTTCCTGCAAACTTGATGAAGTTGTCATTATGTCGGTCAGTGATAAGGATGAGAGATGAGTGAATTACGAAGACAAATTAGTAGGCTATGTCATAGTAAATGTTGATTGCACCTATAACTGTAACATGTGCAATATCCTAAAATATATATAATAAGAAATTGATATGTTTTATGCTATGAACTATTTTAATTTTGACAAAGCAATCAAGAAACTATAAAATTCTTCAACGTGGATCAGCAAGAATCTGATGTTTTATATCATTATTATCATTTTTAAAATATCGCTCCAAATTGCATATAAACATATCAATAATGCCAAGATAGAGAACAAAATAAATGCAATTAGTTTGCAATATATATCTTTTTTTTTTTATATAATATTGATTTACTGGTGCATAGCAATAGCCGAACTATCCAAATGTTTATCATTTTTTGCATAATTTTCAAATCAATAAATCAGGTTTACCATAAAATGACAGTAAATATAGATGTTACATAATCTCTCAAATGTACGCTAGTGAATGTATCCCAACACAATTGTGAAATATAAAATTCTGAAACCATGTATTTTTTATATAGCATTTTATATGTTTTTCATTCCGAAGAAGGCTCCGTTAAAGCAACCACTGCTGGGTATAAATTTACTATAGTTGGTGAAAAAAAGGCAAAATGTTTCCAGTTTTGCACTACCTACTTAGTTTATTAAATGCTGGGTGAGACGGTAGGCATGACATTTCAAACCAAGGTTTCAACATGAGATGCCAACATTGTTAGGACCTACTCTTCAACCATTAGGCCACCGCACCCATAACATATTAATACTAGAATTAAAGTCAGTAATCATAGCAAACCATTTTGGATCTTAGGTAAAAGCAACTAGAAAGTTAGGCATTTATTCAATTACTTGGTACAATTTTCAAGTTCAAAAGGTACAAAATTTTGCTTGCACAATTTTCGATATCACTCAAAATTAAGAATTTGTCAATTTAGTCCGCATAAGGTGGAAGCTGTAAAACAGTATACAAATTTACATAGAATTTTTGTATCTTGCTCAATAGTTGATAAATGATATAGATGCCAAACCTTCAACAAATTTTGTACAATAATTGTAGATGAAAGTTCGGCTGTATGTAGGTCAATGCGAGTTTCTAGAATAATAAAAAGTTAAAGAAATGTTGAATATGGGAATTTTGTCTTGAAATGTATATTACGAAAAAACTTTGCCCAGAAGCTTGGCGATTGACACATAGTGCTATGCTTTGGGATTTACTCTTGAGTTGATTCATAAGTTCGAATCACACGAGGATAAGTATATACATTAGAATTGCTGTCAAGCATCCCGATGCTTTGCAGTTGAAAGGTGATTAACATCGACGCTGGTCAGATATGGCTTTTCTACCTATAAAAATACACAAATCTAGAACAAGTCATAAATTGCTGTGCCCGACTTCAACCGGTAATTACCCGGATAGAAGACTGTGTTTTGCTATATGATATATCATCTTGCCAACTAATTATATTACCTCTCCCTCAAGACAAATATAAAAACTATTTTAGGGTGGTGAGAAGGTAATAAAATCAAGATGTTTCAGAAGTGGAAAAAAACAATTTTAACATTCAAGTTAATAACTCCGATATCACAGGTTCAAGTCACATGCCCACATTGCCCAAGGGAGGGCTATACCAAACACAAATACTCCAATCTGTTGAAACAGTATCTCACTTATATCATATATCACATTGAAGTCACACATTATTAACAGACTAGTTCAAAACAAACATGTGACATGTCATAGAAACAAAGATATATACTATTTTTGTATTCAAATTATAGGTAGGCATTTAACTGAGGATAGGATTCATATTGCCCCCGAAGAGGGTTGAGCCAATAAAATGCTTGGCTAACCACTGCTTCTCGGTCAGTTTCCAGTCAGGTTAGACATGATAATAATTCATTTTAAATGGATGGTTTCATGGGGAAAGTCATAATTCTGTAATCGGCCAGTGTTTAAACCCAGGGTGTAATTAATTAGGTGGGCAATGCCGAGCCGAAAAGATTTTAGTCCTTTGAAAATCTGTAGTTCATAATATATTGTTTGAAACCAGTGGATGCTTGCGTAGGCTCTTGTTCAGCACAATATTCGTGACATATGAAAATACTTAAATTCACTGTGGAATAAATTAATTCCATGCCCAATTTTAAAAAAAGCGGATATAACGTAATAGACATTTGTTAATTTTATTTGCATTATCAAAAAGAACAAACAATGCCACAAATTTGCCTTAACAGTGGTTAAAAACACCTTTAAAGCGGCGGGGTGGAGCCGTCCTGCAAATGTTAATTCAATGCTTAACTAAATTCTGTAATTCGACTTTCAGAATTTTGGCTAGAGCTTCCTCTACTGCTAATCATTTTTGCTTGTGAATATATCAATTAATAATAATAACTGAAATCATTTTATCTGCAAATCTGTATCAAGATACATAAGCACAATATTGACTACATTCAGACATTACCGGATCCAGTGCAAAAGCCCGAAAGCGCTGATGTGATAGTGAAATCGCTAACAATATTGACATATTGAAATCCCATAGCAACATCACGCTTAGTAGGTGACCGGATAATGGAGTCCGGAGCAAGAAATAAAAATATTTTTTGTCTAAGAACTTCGGAATGTTCGACCCTCAACGCGAACTTCCTTCCGTTTCCAGAGAAAAAAAATTCCCATTCATATATTTTAAAAATCAAAAGAAACTTATTTAAAATTACAATCAACATCAAGTAAATGACATAAAACTCATATATAGCTGACGCTGCAGAAAAACTCCGTACAGCTGCATTCGTTACCGCACAAGTCCATGTGGAGACAACGATAAATTTATCATCAATTTTTGTATTATGCATTTAAAGTTCTCGGGACGTTTGCGGGCCGCAAAAAATTAGTTCGCGGGCCGCAGTTTGCCGACCCCTGATGTACACAAACTATCTTCGCGCAAAATTTCGTTCTCGCAAAACTAAATTCCACAATCGTGTTTGGGTGACATTTGTGCGAACTTCATGCAGCATTGCAAAGAAAGCGTTTTGTAGTTCTCGTTAGGAAATTGTCTTGTTTCTGACTGACTAGCAAAGTCGGAAAGTGAGAAACTGAGTTCAGGAATTATTTTGAAATTAATTCCTTGTTGTTTGTGCCGTCCACGTATGAAAAACGTTATTAGAGTTGAAGTTCACATTATATATATCGAACAAGCAACATGAAGTTCAAGCATGTCGTAGGAGAAAAAGTTTTATGTTTTGAACCAGATGAAACGAAAGCCCGAGTTTTGTATAATGCCAAGGTATGATCGGTACTGTATTCAGGATTTGTCTAATTTCGTGGGAGACTTGAAGCTGCAAAGAGGCAGCAGATAAACACCATCATTTCCATCATGTTCAATTCACTGACCAATTTTCAGTGCAAAAGCTGAGATGTCCATAATCGAACTCATTAAATGTAATTTTTTTGAAGGGATAAAACTGAACTTGAAACATCTGCTTTTTATTTCAATATTATTCAAGTTATTATTGAATTAAATGATCGCGAATTTATTGTGATTGTCTTAATTCGGCCCCTTTATTTCTATTTTGTCAGTCTTCTGACCTCTTATTAATAGCCTACTGTAATAAACATGCTTTTAGATCATGGATGCTGATGTAATTAAGGACATTAAAGGAAAGAAGTTTGTAGAGTATAAAATACATTTTCAGGTAAAAAGCTCAAATATTTTTGTTTTAGAACATGTGCAAACAGTGATTTGCTTATTAAGTTCTGCTATACTGGTACTACACGAAAAATTCATACTACACCTGTTTTCATGTCTTTCTACTTAGTATGCTACAATATGCTAATTGCATGCTGTATACCATAATTCCAAACAATGTTTTGTAGGGTTGGAATCATGCATGGGATCGTTGGGCTGATGAATCATTTGTTCTGAAAGACAATGATCAAAATAGAAAACTTCAGAGAAAGTTGGCCAGAAGAGCAATAAAGAAATTGTAAGCCAACAGTAATGCTAATGATCATTTTGAAAAGGTTGAACAATGTTAATGTCAAGCTTCATTGAAATTAGATGATTTCATATAGATAGATGATTGATGGCAAACAATGTGGCATAAATTTCACACGATTGATATCCTAAACACTGATTACCGTGGGTTACCATCGTCAGTCCTAAAAACCTGACCAATGTTACAATTGGTCAGCTTTACCCAATGCAAATTTCAATCCACAAGCAATAACTTATATTTATTAAATAAGATTTTTCTTATTCAATACACGGCAGGAAACTTCAGAAAGGCAGAAGACGACATCATCTACCTGGAGTTGCTAGTAAGCCAGATGCTGAAATACCAAACAACTCGGGTAATGTTTTTTCATCTTATTTTCATGTTGTATTAATTTATTAAACCGCCTTGTATCAGTCTTGTCTTGTATTAAAATGCATTTGCCAGCATGTATACGAGCTCTTGACATTTCCACTGCTCACCCTTGACTTCACTCGAAATTATATTTATTCTGAGTGAGGGTATGTGACCTTGCTTTGAGCAAGTTTTCTCAAAAAATCATTCCCATCAGGGAACGGTCTTACTACCTACTGAATAGAGTGCAGAAGAGCGCGAAACAGCGCAGAAGAGACATTTTCCTTTCACTATTTATTAGCGTCCGTGAAATTTTAAACAATTTGATGGGAAACAGTATACAGTGGTAGGGAATGATCACGAGTTTATATCAGTAATCTGTTGTTGACATCATAACACAATTTAGTCCATATTTCCACTTTGTGTCCAATATACATCCTGTGCGTGATATTTTTAATAGAGGAGTGATAAAACCAACATATTTATTGATACAGATTCAAGCTCTGGAGAAAGTTTTAATTCTGATTTCACAACAAGTACTGGGACAAGAGAAAAATTATCAGAATCTGATGATGATTTTCCTCCTGAGGTAGGGCATATTTCCAATTCTGACAGGAGAATCATATTTTTTCAAACTATGTCATATCTAGTGAATAAATTAGTTTGAATGTAAAGCAGGGTTTAAGATTTCTGATAGGGGAAATTTTGGCTCATAATTTATAGTTTGTCGGGCATTATAAAACTCTTTATTCTCTTTTGTTTAATAGGGTCCCACGAAAATTTATTTTTCAAATGAACTTAGTCCTTTAGATTCAACTATTTGAATGAAAGACAATTTACGAGTTCCCTATTCTCATTCCAATATCATCGTTTGCCATATTTTTCTTTATTTTGTGCTCATACTTGACCATGCTCAATATTTTAAATAACCATTTGTTTGAAATTTATATTTTAGAAAAGACCTCGTTTGAGCAGTACATCAACAATTGGAACTGCTTCCATACATCATCATGATAATATCGTTGAAGAAGATAATCCATCAAATAAAGATGAACATCATTTACGTAGATTAGTCAGTCTTGACATACCACCATCTCTACAAAGACGACTAGAAGAAGATAATGCTTTGGTGAAGAAAAGAAATATGGTAACTTCAAATAGTCCAACTCTCCATTCTTTCCTAAATTTACATTTACTTACATTTATTTTAATTTTGAATGGATGATTTTTGCAACCTTATTTGTAAATTCAAAAGCGAAAGACGAGGATAAATATCTATTTATATTATCTGAATACGATTTTTCTTTATATACAATTTATTTACGATCTGTTCATGCTAAAACCGTTAGAATTTGTAATTGCAGGGTCTGGTGTTATTTGTCTATAGACAGTCTTGAAACGTGGAAAAAGTGCCATTTTTGTGACATAAACTTGAAATGAAATTTTTTTACATAATAATAGGTTATATTAAAATTTCAGGCCCATCTTGCCACTTGTAAAATATATAACATATTTGCAAATAAAGAAGATGATTGACATTTTTTTTGCAATATTTCAGCTGATTAATCTCCCTGCAAGACCTAATGTTATTCAAATATTAGAAAATTATGTGAAAAGATTTGCAATTCATGCTCTAAATGCTGCAGATAGACAAAGAGTAACAACGACTGCCATGGGTCAACCAGTTGGTCCAGAAATCTTACTTCCGCCTGCAAAAAGGTAAGTAGTATGGATCTTCAAATAATATAGTAACTAGAATTTTTCCTCGCAATTAGTTTTCAATTTGAATCAATTTTTATCAAATTCATCATGTATTCATAAAATGTAAAAAGCGGAATCCTGCCAGTTTTACTGGAAAGCTCGGAGTGACTTCATTTTTGATAATCGTCAATTTTGAATCATTTTACACTAAGATTATTTCAACATCCTTAGCTAGTATCAGATTTATTCGTTAAAATCGCTACGAATATTTTTTCAATATGTTATACAGCTCAATGATAAAGATGCTTTAAATTTCAAGTCATCAAAAGGGTTTCCAATTATTTTATCAACCATTTACTTTACGTGGTTCACCATATGGTTGAGCCGCCTTATCACTTTCCTCTCCCACGGGATAAATATGTAAATTCTATCCTTTATTTTGACAGATTAAATCTTTGTGAAGAAGTCTGTTGTGATTTAAAACTACTTTTCGATTATGCTCTTCCACTGTCATTGTTATATTTACCTGAACGAAATCAATTCAAACATTTAGCTAAGAACACTGCTATTAGGACACCTGGAATGGAGTAAGTGCTTGGATTTTATTTTTCATAGAGTAGAGTAAATTGTGTGTTAACAATATCTCAATACCATTTGTATTTACAATTGATAATGGAATTCAGCATCTTTCGAAATGTCATCGAAACAGAAAATGACTTCTGTTATTTCATTTTTGGCAATGTTATTAAAGACAAATCTAATCATTTTTTGTACTCAATATCAGTTATAAATAATAGATTCTTTTTTTACAGTCATTTACAATATTTCCATTTTTAACTTTGTTTTTATTCTGGATAAACGGAAAATTACCCATATTTTTCATTTTTCGGCAACTGAAAAATCATTATTCACAGAGTAGTAGTGATTTTTGAAGTTGTGCCCTTGGAACAATACCCAATCTATATTAACTTCAAGATCTCAAAATTGGTTTTTCAGAATGTGTGTTTGATCATAGTCAAATTTTGCCATTTTGCTTTATTGATTGTAAGAGAGCTGGTATTTAAATTTAAAATTACACGCTACTTACAAATCGGCTAACTTGTGTGAATGATCAAACATTTTGTTCTTACATATTCTGCAGTGCCAACCAACCACCGGAGATAAAAGCAGATACAACAAAGAAGCAACTAGGTATTGTACATTGATATTGAGGTTTACTGTTTAAGTTCTTGTTGATCATAATTTCCTAAAATTATTATTTTCAGTGTTTGAAGATTCTCCCACTAGTGAATCTGGCTCACAAATGATAAAACAAGAGGAGTTTATGACAAATACCACGGAAAATATAAATGAAGAGACTGGAAACATCCAGACTACTTGTAAGTGTACTTGTAATATTTTCCAAGGCATGAGATCAGGGTTAAAGAAAATCAAATACATTCCTGATTAGGTATATTGGGTATTCGTAAATTATTGAATTTTGATTGTTTGTTTGAAGTTTTTGTCAAATTAATAATATTTGTAAATTGAATCACTCTAAATAAACTGTTAATTGTATATCTTCACCCTTTGAGCACTTTTGGAATAGCAGATTTTCCATAATCCATAACATTGTTTGTATGAATATTTCTTTTTTTTTCAACAAACTCATTATGGTTCTAAGTCTTTAACAAAAGTCATAAGTTGCTCTGTAAATAAGTAGAAGTCAAATCATAATTCAAAAGGGTTTTATTGTTGTCTATTTTCTTGTGAAACTTCAATATCTTTTAGCTCTGGCTGAGCATCCTGATGTCTCATCAGTTTCATCATCTTCACCTAAGAAACGAAACATCAGTGAATCAACATCAAGTCCTACTAGAAATCAGGAAAATCCTAGACCTCACAAGTATAACAGTTACCCATACAACAAACTCTTCTAAATATCATTTCTAATAATATTGTTGTTCCATCCGCTAACTAGTGTCAAGTTTTCATCCATGCACTGTAGAAGTTGATACCAATTTGCGGAATACATATCTCGGCCTTCTCGGGTTCAAATCCCATGTCCCCCCTTCCTTACCTAACAAATGGTACAATGCAGACATGCAGACCCAGGAAAATTTCAGTTTTTTTGAATAAAAGCACCTCTTTGCATATCGCTAGGTATCAGAGGTTACTTGTATAGGGTGAACAGAGCGAAGGGCGTGCATGAGAGTTGTATAGAAAAGATATATTTGTCACAAGCATAATGGGCTATATCAATCTGTCAGTGGTGTTTCTACCATTAGTTGACTGCTTGTAACTTTATTTGACCAACAATGCATTTTTTGCATGCATGATCATATGGCCCTATATTTACTTTTGAATTATGCATTGTTATCATTGAAATTGAAAGAGAATATCATAATCTCATAATATTCAACATACTACACTACATCAATACTAATCAACTGGATTTCTATGCTAGAAAGAAAACTGCTGAGGAACAACTTATTGAAGAAACTCATAAATATCTGATTCCAAACCAACCTAATCTGGATCAGACTGGTTTGTCAAAAGATGCTCAAGGTAGAAGGAGATCCAGTCGATTGTCTCATCACGAGTCTACATCCCATCAGGTATGTATCAGAATAGGTGCTTCACTTAATTGAGCATATACACAGATACAAATCCTATCTAGAGTATATTAACAAGAACATTACTCAACGCAATGTTGGTTAATCAGTTATAGCCTTCTCCGCCATCCAAGTCCATGAAAAATCCTATCCTAAATGACAAAATTGTGTGAAACCACATTATATAGTCGAATAATTCATATGAACCAAAAAGATATTCTGTTGGCTCAATTTGCTATTTTCTATTATTAAAAAACAGTCTTCCACTGTAAAATAAGTATAATTTACACAATTGAAATGTTGCAATTTTTTCAAACATCGTTAGCAGTCACCTACGGAGCCAGATACAAGCATGTACAGAATGATTTCATCTGCAACATCGTCATTTCAAACAAGAGATTTATCACCTGGTATGCCATTCTTGTGTTATTCTGCTTTGTGAGATGTTCTGTTGTTGAATCTGTCTTTATTTCACAAATAATTGTACCATATGCATTGCTTCTTTGATAGGATAGGATTCACATATTTGTCGAGAGGAAAGCCGATAAGACAGCTTAAACATAGGGGGACCACGGCCTCTTGTTCTGTTACCAGTCCACGTCGAGTATGGGATTATTTAGCAGTTACTAGTGTTGGAAAGCATGGACTTGATGATGGTGGAAGCCGTAACTGACCAGCAGTTATGTGAACCACCCTAGGTCGGCAAGGAAACCAGCAAATCCTCTCCCACATAACTAAACCTGTGTTGGATTCGGACCTGCAAACCCATGCAGTGTAATCAAAAGTGCAGTGGTGAGCGTATTCCTAACGCTTAGCAAGTAATAGAACTAATGATAGTCCAGTAATATTTAATATTGAGTTGGTATATTTGATCCAGTCTTTAACAAAAGAGATAAATAGTAATAAGAAATATTAGAATGCAGATTTCAACAAATATCACAACTCTGCTCAAATGAATTTTCTCAACTTTTCAATTCACATTTCAGAACGTGAGATTTCCATTTCTTCAGATCCGAAATACTTTGTCTCCATAGAACCTTGCATATTTCTGAGAGCACCTTCAAAACATAACAGACATTCTTCTATTGGTGCATCTGCTACTATTAACAGTGAAGGACCTTCTTGTTCTACAGCACCGTACGTTTATCGAAGTTTTATTATTGGGAACAAAGTGTATTTGATCGTTTTGCTAACTTGGGTTGGTATTGGTCTCAACTAATGAATGGATGAATCGATTGCAAAAATTCAGTGGGCTAATACTTTCATTTTTGGATTTCTCCTTAGTAGTAGACCCATTATTTTGCCACAAATTTTGCTGTTTTATTTGAATTATTAAAGTGGAGGCAGTCAAGCGTGATGGGATAAAAATAGGTACATCTTTTACTCAAATAAAAAAGCTAAATTTGTGGCGAAATAAAAAGGTCCAAACTTGATGTGTGACAATCATGAAAGGGAAAATGCATTCAAGCATTGCTCTCTTGTTATTTAGTAGGTTGTATTTAAAATTACAAGTATGGGTGACATTGGACATTGGTTGAACAATTACATTAAGTCAATATTGTATCCTGATATATATCATATCTCTTATTTTGACCTCTGTTTGATTAGAATTTCTTAGTATATAAGCTAGCTAACCTCATGTCGAACGATTTGCTTGAAATTTTACTCAATTTCAGTCTTCGTCAACCATTATTTAATGCGAATCCGTGCATGGATCGAGATCAATATTTATCGGCTGCTGGTAGTGATATAAAGAATATGGTGGAACTAAAAAAGGTAATTATGTAATTATGTTGTTTAAGTGATGAAAACTTTGTGGAGGAATATATGCTAAATTATGACATATCAATCTTGTTAGCACACATTTCAAAAGCTGCAATATTGAATTATGCAAGACTGGAAATGTACATGCGGACTCTATTATGTTCTCTACTCTGTTCCATTATCATGTGATGCTATTTCTCGCCTCTCACTCTGAACCAAACTTTGTATTGGCATCCGCTGATTCATAATGAGGCTACTATTTTTGTTGAGATCAGAATGTTTGCATTTCAGTATTGCCTGCCAAATTTAATATATCTTGACTGAGTTTGGCAGCCTGAGACATGACATGGTTAAGCTTACCTGTTAACCCAGCATAGTTGTGTTCAACACTATACTGAGAATATCGGTTGGAAACCGAAGACTTATCGATCGATAGTTAGGGGATCCCCCAAAACAGAAACTACAGTTTCGATTCATCCGCTCTTGTAACTTGCGCACTGCGCATCGCACACACACACTCGGCGGGTTTTCAAAATCTCTCGCTTTACAAAATCTAGATCACTATATCAATAATTGATTGATAACTCGCTAATTATACGACATAATTCGCCCAAAATCATAGGCTTCTGGTCCGAGATAAGATGAATGCACATGCAAAATCTGGAGCAGATTCAATCTCGCTTTCGTGAGATATCGCGTGCATCTAACAGACACACACACACACACACAGACAGACATACATACAAATACCTATCAATATACTTACCGATCTTAAGATCGATAACTAATAAGGCATCAATGGTTCTAGGAAAATTCGCCAAGGTCAAGAGAATTTTGCTGTAAAACAAGTATCTGTAATAAAAACAGTTAGGTTTTTGAAGTACTTTTTATATAAAAAAGATTTGTTATTTAAGAGCATACTTTAACCCTATAAACCTAACTGTTTTTATCACAAATACTTGTTTTACAGAAAAATGCTCTTGCGGCGTATTTTCCGGACACTGGCATCAATAATGCCCATAATTATATCCATGGCCAATATGACAGTTTTTCTTCAAAACTTTTTTTTAAAGTAGCACAATTTGATGTTGTTTTTTAGTCCTGGGATTGGTGCATTCTACCAGAAACATTTCGACCTGAAGAAGGTGCTGTTGTCCCACCTTCCATGATCTACGGAATTCATCATTTATTGAGATTATTTGGTAATATCATTTTTTTCTGTTTTTTTTTGACTTATCTGTAAAAAGCTGTTCATTGCTAATTTTGATCTGAAATAAAACAGTAGTTTTCTCAGTTATGTATAAACTAAAACTTGTCTTAATTAATGCATATTCTTTTACTCGATAGTAATAATAACATTTGTAATTCTCTCTTGAAATAACCATGAATTTGATGAGAATGATTGTTAGGTTAGAATTAGGGGCTAGGGCTGGGCATTTCGAATCGAATATGAAATTATTCGAATCGGTTCAGAGCAAAATTTCGAATTGCCGCCATCTTGTTTTTTTTCTTCCCGCCAATGGTCGAGCTAAATTTCTCATTTTTTTTTCTTGAAGCCATATTTTTTCAACTCAATTCTGACATATGACTCTTTTCTGTTGTGAGTTATTGAGGAAAAACTGTGTTTATTGTGTGTGACTGCTCAGCAATCTGCCTGAGCGATGTATACTATGTTTTCAGTAATTTATGTGTCTGGAGGACCTAACACAGTAACAGAGTTACATACAATTTTATATCTCCAAAGTATTTGAGATTCGATTCGAAAAAAATATTCGATTCGATTCTGAAATCATCAGGTATTCGAAAATGCCCAGCCCTAGTTAGAACAAAATCATTCAAAATATCAGGCAGTGGTTCCCAGCCTTTTATGGCTTGTGGCCTCCTTCCAGAGGCTTTAGCACTCATGTCCCCCTATTTATCATTCCAGTGGTATTTATAGTGTTATTTTAATTAGTAAATTCCATTATGTTCAAACAATTCATGCTCAATAATGCTCTAAGACCTTGTAAATTGCTATTTTCAATGCCAAGAGAATGGTAAAATCAGTTATGTGCCAGCATTGTGCCCCCCCCCCCTCCAACTGCTCTGTGGCCCTCCGAGGAGCCCAGGGCCCCCAGTTGGGAACCGCTGTATTAAGGTCTCTGTTGTTATCTGGCATGTTCTTATATATGTGATGTAACTTTCCGCAATTGTATGTATTCGTCTATATAGGTATGTAGTATAGGTAACTAAAATTTAAGAATAGAATATTACTTTTAACAGTAAAGTTACCTGAAATATTGATCGAAGATGGAAATACCAGAATTCAAATTGAAAAATTTTGATCAAGGCATTTGAACTCCTTATAAAGTAAGTTTTTACATGCAGAATTTTGTATACCTTGCATTTTTTTAGCTACCTTGCTGAATTTTGGTACTCCCCTAGTAGTGTACCAGGTAAGGATTAGCCATAATTTTATTCTAATTATTCCTTTATTTAAGTTCTATTAACGAGTTTCGGGGAACTGTTTGTGTTAGCCAAGTGATATATCCCCTGCCATAGGTTTCAGTACCTTCACACAACTTTGATTGTTAGGGTGAACAAGATTAAAGTTCACCTCACATAATCGGTACACATACTTCTCGGTAGCGGTCTGAATTTTCTTCTTCATCTGTTATATAACTTGATATTCAATATATGGTCTAAAAACCAATAGTAATGAAAATCTCGAAGCGCTTGTATTCTTACAGGTTTTTTAAATGTGAATACGAGGAGAATTGTTTGAAGTAGAATGCTTACGAACAAATCTCTGAAATAATAGTTGTCAATCAGCAGAGAAATGGTGATGGCATCAATATAGGAAAGATATTGTGGAAATCCAGCGAAGTTGCCTAAACTTCAAGTGAGGTTTAACATGGGACCTACATGTATATTTCTCACTTTGTGATGTATAAGTGGAATTTAGGCTTGTGACCATTGTGGTAATATATGCATCTGTCATGCATGCACATAACTAAAAAATTGGTATTATTGATACATTAGTTAATGTTTGCTTTCTATATTGATTATATGTGATAAATCCATATTTCTCATTCTTTTGAAATAAATGCAAGATCTGTTTCCATCATGTTGTGACAATATTGATTGGTCTATTTTTGTACGTTTTATTGGAGCTGCGTTTTTATGATCAACTGAATTTGGGAAAGTGAACGTCTGAACGGATATTATAACAATGGTGTGCATCATCGGAAACATTTTATAGAGTGCTCGTGCTTTTGTTTCAATTCGTCAAAGCTACAAACAAGCTTATTTATAACTCGACTTCCATCTGACTGCCTGTGTATGTAACAGACATATTTAAACCTGTGACGTAGTGTTTCCAATCGAAGGCTTTCGCACCTGGCATTACAGATATTTACTTCAACATAATATGGTAGTTGTAGGCATTGGTACGTTTCATTCGTCGTAGGCACGCTGCAAGACGACACCTTTTCGTCTGTTCAGATCGAGATAAAACTGCAAGCCTGCACTGGACCACTGGCTGTTAACTGTTAATTATGGGTGGGAGAAAAATTTTAATTATCGCCTCCTGTCATATTTCTCGCTTGACCTCAAATTAGTTAATAAATTGTTCTTTACCAATCATCTAAATTCTGAAACTTTGTTCGTAAACTACGGTACAATATTAATGGCAGTTTGTTTTGAAGAGTTTTATTTCATCGCATTGCTTGTGTGCACATAAAACCTATGGACGTTTCCTTGACCCCAGAAAATTCTCCCCATACTTTAAACTTTACAATTGCGACAATGTCATCCTTATTTTGAGTGTTTCAGAAGTGTTGGCGCTTATAATCTGGTCTACATGTTTAAAGCCATCATTTCTCCTCAAAAGAACAATGGACATTAATCCCGCACAGCTTTCATTTTATTCTCCCGGTAGATTTTTTCCTAAAACACCTCATCGGTTATATATACCGGTATACTTATGCAAAAATCCACATTTTATTTACATGAACAAGATTAAAAATGTTATAGATTGTTCGAGTGTGTATTGTTGCCATAATTTTTCACTTCGCGTACCGGTACGGAACTACGCTAACAGGTATACTGTAGATCAGGGTTGTGCAACCTGCGGACCAAATGCGGTTCGCAAGGAAAAAGTGTGCAGCCCGCGAAGAAGTGCCAATTTTGAATGGTGTGCGTCTGCAAAACCAGTTCTTAATTAGGTTTAATCTGATATGGCGAGTAATTCGAACCCCTTATAATGCCCTAACAGCTAGCTTGCGCGAGGCGAAAATCGCATATCATAGGATTAAAAACCAAAATTTTTGTTCATACAATTATACTAGAAAGCCCATGTTAAATGAAGCTGCAGCCCGCGGTTTCACCCAGTTATTGGTATCTGGCCCTCCAGGTTGCAAGCCCCTGCTGTAGATCAAGGGTTAAATTATATATGAAATATAGCACCACTACGTTGAACATCATAACATAACACCGTTCATGAAAATGCCATTACAAATTCTTTGACTCGTTCTATTTCACAATAAATTTTCGACTGATATGACAATATTTTTAAATGCTTGTTTACAAGATAGCCTATATAATATAGGGGAAAGTGGGGAAGGTTGGGACACTTTTTTTCTTTTGCATATTTTGAGCCTTTAATTCTGCATATTCCCTTAAGTTGGTGGGACTAATGCATGGTAATGTAAATGTAGTTTACATTCAGCGAATAAGAAATTTTCTTGCGACACATATCTTACTACCAAAATGCTTTGAAAAACGTCTGTCAAGTGTCCCACTGTACCCCACTTGTGGGGCACATTCGGACAGACCCTGGGGCCCCATGGGTCAGTCCGTCAAAATTCAACGAAGTATGCCCTTAAAAAGAAGCAATTAATCAGCATAATCGTCTAAAGAACAGGGAGACTTCAAATTTGAAGCTTTAATATTTTTAAAATCAATGTTCAACTGAAATAGTTCAGATATCAGACAAAAAGTTTCGCAAACAAATTTGATTATTTCTTCCCTCGAATCTAAATCTGGAAATATTATTGATTCTCGAATATATTCCATATTGGGCCATGGGTCGAAAGAAACCATAATATTTTACACTTAATATACCGCATATCTAGGTCTCTAAGCACTTATTGTATCAAACAATGTCGAATTGTGCACTGTAGGGCAAGTCCCACTGTGCCCAGGTCCATTGTTCCTCATAGGCAACAAATATTTTCAGACTATCCCACAGCGAAATCTGGAAGGCACATCCACTCGCCAACGTTATGAATATTCTACAGTGGACCAAAGCTGAAAAATATCAGACGGTGGTTTGTCATGTTGGAAAGTCCAATGTAGAAAAAAGAAAAAACTGGAACGGTGAAATTTTAGTTTCAACCTTCCAAAACCAATTTCACTTCATAGCTTGCGCCGCACTACCCTTCCGTTGTCCGTTCGCGGGGACGTTGTAACTCACCAAAGGGCGGATTGAAACATCGAACCGCGGACAGGATTGCGGATATAGTATCAGTGTGAGAGCTGATTTTCCACTGTGCCCCATGTCCCAACGTGCCCCACTTTCCCCTATAGTAAAACACTAATTGCTCAAACAATTCGATTTGCACATGATATTAATAGCATCCATGTGACGAACCCACCTCAGAATTATTTGGAATAATAACATGAGTTGTTAACAAGATTTATGTTTATGTTAGAAACGAAAAATATCAGTCCATTGAATAGTTAAACTTAGTATTGTACAGTGGAAACATCTATTGATAAATTGAACAGAAAAACATTAAATTTTCCATAATCCGAAAAGAGTTATTTGTGCTGTTACATCTACTGAGTTGAAACAAGGGTTCGTATGTATATGAATATCATTTGAAAATGCGGTCAGAGAAACGAAAAGGCATTTGTTATTTTGTTTTAGTACTCCTAGGAGTCAATTGGAAAGTTTATCCGCATTTGGAGGATCTTTCGCCATTTTCCAGAATTTCATGGATTCTTTGTAGTCTTCTGACGCCCAGCTTTTGTCCGCCAAAATACTATCGAACGTTATATGCTTTGTGCACTTTCGAATAAGTTGATACAGCCAGACAACTGGTATTGGTAATGTTGGTAATAATAAGAGAAGATATATTACCAACAGTCCGTACCAAGGATATTCCAGTGATTCTATAGTTCCCTGTAATGTTTATGTAATGAATAATGTTTACTTTTAGAATATATTTCTTTCTTCCTCATCGTGACTGTCCATAACAAGCGAAACTTTCTTTTTATAGCATAATATGAAAGGGAGTTAAAACTTCTACCCGCCTATAATTCGCTATACAACACTTTATTACTCAAGTAGCGTCCCAAACTTCAGCGCTCATCAAAATTACATAGAGCAGCTTCAGAGCAATATTTTTTATAGCAGTGATGGGTTTTACCTACTCAAGAATAATCATACATACATCACCAATCCAAGCATCATAGTCCAACGTTGATGAAGCAATATCATAAACGAATGCGATCAGAACAACCAACAGGGCAACTGGGGAAATAAAGACCCAACATATTCGGAAGTAATAGAATAGAATCCATCCCATGATGCTCTTTGGTCTTCCAATCATCCATTTCAGGTCTTCGTTAAATCTGAATGAAAATGCATATTTGAAACCGGATTGAAATTCACCTGGATTTCCAGTTAATTTTATATTATATGTGATACTGCTTAAACTGCCAATTCTGAGAAATGTACAAAAACTAATACAGAAATTATTTGCGAGTATTGATAGGACACCGCCGTGTAGTAGGAACCAATTTCGAAGCTACTATCGACCAGGTCCTGTAATAATTCCTACATTCAATTCTGAACTTCTGGTCATTTGACATATTACTCTAATATCCATTTTATTATGTTACTTATTTATCTTTATATTACTATCTCGCTCAAGCATCCTTGTGGCAACTACACATACGGATCCGAAGTAGGAAGTAAACAAGGAGAAAGGACTTGCAGTTGAGTACACAATATCCCAGTACACCCCATTTACTTAATAAACATATTATATATCTTTTACTATAACGACCGCGGCGAATTTATACTTACTCCTTAATTCCATACAACCATGCTACGGCAACGATTTCGAAAAAGGCGATTACAAGAAGTGGAATGGATCCGGCATAATCATTGAATATATTTAACCAATAGTTTCCAGCACCACAAGTAAACAACAATCCAACAACACATGAGACGAGACATATCATACCTTTATAAAAGATGACGACACATTAGTTATAGAAATGAAAATAAATTATCCCTTTCACAGAAAATTCTAAGTACTTCAGTGACGTGTTGGATATATAGGCTATTCATCAATGAAAAGAACAATGAATTTTCGACTTTTTTTCTAGTCAGAAACATTTTATCTATGCGTTAGATGGGTTGCCCTTGCTTCGCTTCATATGGACCGCGGAATTTCACGTCGATTCAATTTTAGATCCCACAACTATATTCGAATTCCGTTTGGGTGCTAGGTTTTAATAGCTAGGTCGTTGTACTATTAACCCAAAGACAGACTATAGCAATCAGCAATCTATGCAATGAATTTATTGAAAAAATGTAAAAAAAAAAAATAAGTGTTTGGGATTCAAAATAATAATAAGACTGAAGTATTTTACTAGTAAATTTACCTGTCAAAGCTGGTTTCGGGATGCCTTTGATTCCCAAGTCACAGAGTGGAGTCACTACACCTTCTATGGTTCCAAACATCGATCCAAGTCCTAGTGACAGGAGCATGAGAAAGAATAAAACTGACCAGAAGGGACTCCCAGGCATGTTGATTATTCCTTCCGTAAATACTATAAAGGCGAGTCCCGTTCCTTGTGAAGCCTATATTATTCATACACCAAATGTCATTAAAAGCGCTCTTCACGGAGCAAAACAAATGGATTCGTTTAATTGAAATCACTTTGTAATAACCGCAATTTAAGTAAAAGTATTAATATTTTATCATGAGAATTTTCCATAGACCGTGTCTTCGTTGATATTCGTCGTGCCCAAGTTAACTGTGTTTTATAGGTTGTTTCAAAATTGTTCATATTGCGCCTCAGTAATAAATATAATCTACATAATTACTATTTATGAGTAATTTTTATGCTAGGCACCAAATTAAGTATTCTCAGAACAAAATCCACTCAGATGTACTAAACATCATTCATACATTTCAATTAAATTTTGTCGATGTACGTTGGCCTTTTTTATTTTAACCGTTTATTTCAGTTTGTCAGTATTTCGTTTCAGATAAATCTAATATAATTATGAAATTAAAGTAAGAAAAGTATATAGTACCTCGCTGAGGATCTCGTTAATATCGCAGTATGTTAAATTGAGTGCATCTACTTCATCAGTGGTGTTCAATCTGTTGACTTCGTCTTTATAGTTTTCATAGGTGATATTACCTTCAGGAAGGTCAAAATAATTTGACAAAGTTTCGATGTTCCTTTGAATAAACAAGAGAGCAATTCACAATACAGTATATGTAGAAAAAGAATCTAATCGCCACATGATGGCATCATTTTTCAACATCTACAAAAAGTGAAGGCCTACGAAACCACAGAAAGTCGTTGGCAAAAATACCCTTTCATTCGTCGCTGTATAGGTTTGTAATATGAATACTGTGTGTGATAGGTATGTCATGGGAAAATATTAACATTTAACGAAGTCGATATTATAAATGCGTTTATTTTTCTGAATGACGTTATAATACATAATTGCGTACTCTGTTATCGTAGTTGCTGGGAAACAGAAATAGGTAATGGAATATTTTATTTTCAATATATATATACAGACACATATAAATTGATTCATTAAAGCTGCTTCTAATAAAAATATTGTCGATCAGAGATTCTACAAATCTACCAAATGTCAGACACAAGATAAGATGGTATTTACCATGTCTGGGCAATAAAGCATTTTATGTCTCCTCGGGTCAAAGGTCACGTAAAATGATATTTAATGAATGAAATTTATATTGTAAACGGAACAGTAACGTTGGTTTCCGCGTCGTGACTTTGTCTGCAATGTCAACTAGAGTCGACTTCATTATTTTTATTTTAAAACTTGGTTATTCAAGACGAGTTCTTTAGTTGTCCTAACGTTGATATAACAGGAGATAGATTTACAACTCTTACCCATCCAAACAACGATTGTTTTGTTCATAGGCACGGAATCCCAATATTGAAAATATGACCAAAGACGCATAAATAGATGTAAAGGAATTCGTGAGCGCGATGATGAGAGCATCTCTTTGACAGTCTTGCTTCAAAGGATTGTAACTCGCAAACGCTATCACTCCTCCAAACGCTAAGCCAAGTGAAAAGAAAATTTGTGTTGCTGCGTCCAACCAAACTCTGGGCTGCGCTAAAACGGACAGCTGTGAAAAAAATAGAATCAAGTGTCGATGGAATGCAAGTTACCTTCAATTTTTGGGTTCTGTCTACGCTCCATAACATACTATAGGATTATCAGACCAAAATAAATAAAAAATTTTGAATGGAAAAATTGAAATTGGAAATTATAGTTTATATAAACGTGGCTTAGTTTTCGCTAAAACTAAGTAGTAATATCTGCTATTTGGTTTGAAATCTATGAGAATACAGTAGTTAAAATCAAGCGCTTTGATTCACAGTAGAGTACGAAGGTGGGCTACTGCATTAAGACGGTCTGAATTTCCTGTTTATTTGTCCCGGACATGTTGTCATAGTTGCTGTTAGAAGTCGCGAGGCCCGTCTTTGAGTTGGTGTCGTTGATCAAGCAAACTAAGTCAATAATGTTTCTTTACCGCGTTTTGTCTTTCTATACCACTCGTTATAGCCAATGATTAAACAGCGTTTTATCAAAAATTGTTTGCCGTAATTAAATTAATAGAGGGCTTGGCGTATATAACATTAGCATCACTTCAGTACACACGCAAAGAATTCAGTTTATGGAATCAACCTGTACTTTTCCGCTGTGACAATGCGTGATTACGTAAATGGCTAATGATTAAGTTTTGCATCATAGACGGTAGTGGGCAACTTAATCAAACGAAAATGTCACTGAATAAAATTACTGAATACACCAACATGATTTTAACTTTAAATACAAACATAAATTTACATCAATCATATTTTATCAAAATCACACTGGTAACTTATCGGTAAAAATGACTGATACTGTAAGCGTGAAAAGAAAAGAAAAATTGGTGCGAATATAGAGAAAAATACTCAATCGTTTTTATAAAATTTTGTAAATGAGGGACTTGATGAGAAATATATATAACCAAACCGCGAATTGCAGGGTTTATATTGTAAATTATAATACTTGCTTGGCGATATAAAGTACATATAAAATGCCTATTCTGACTAATTTTGCAAGTATCTTCGCTGAGATTAAAGTCCAAAATGGATATCCACACATCTTCGGGCAAACTTGATTATGTGAAAAATTCTATGAAAATCCGTGATGGAAAGTGCCATGGCTTCGACTCCTGGATGTCATAAATAATATCTTTTATTGAATATGCACACGCACTGATTAAACAAAGGTGCGCAGCACATTGTATTGGCATGCCTACAAATCATGCTTATACTCGCCCTACTAAATACACAATTAAAGACAAACTGTTTTCTTTCTCATAAAATTGATTATCGAATATAATCGAGCCTAAAAACACCACTCATCAGCATATTTTAGTGGAAACAAAATAATAAATGATCCCTTTAAATCCCTTTGAATTTGCAGCAATAAAAACTTACGTCTGGCGAAAAAAGATAAGCGACTCCATCTGACGCTCCCGGTAAAGTGAGACCTCTGATTAAAAATATCGTCAAAACTAAATACGGGAATGTTGCTGTGAAGTACATTACCTAAAAATAAAAAAATATCAAGATCCGATTTTTTGATAACGACTGAGAAATCGAAATCGGAGTTTGGTATGTTTTCACTAGAGCAGAAGCCGGAGTCGAATTTTTAAACTTCTGGATTCGGAATTTGAATTATCCGGAGATGTGACTACTTTCAATGAAGACAATAGAAGTGAAATCAAGAAGTTTATTCAGCATTGTCCAATAGTCCATTAAATAAGAATTGCTAACGCCGAATGTTTTGGTATCAAAAATTGGTTTTCTTAAAGTTCGAAACTAGTGTCGGATTTTTTAACGACCAGCAGCCAAAAGAGAGTCGGAGTGAAAAAAATGCAACTCAGAATAGGAGTTGATTGCAAATTAACCTCGACTCCATGAGCCGTGTTTTTTCCGTGGCTGTAGCATTGTCGTAGAAAAATACAGATGCTCTGATTTTATAGGGGACACGTTCGAAATGCGACATTTTCACTGATATCTGATGATATGTATAGAGTATATGTATATGTATATTCTACTACTAAACTCATTAGCTATTACTATAGGTTTTTTTTATAAAAAAACGGTATTCAAATTATCTTATCAGGTAAGAATTATACTTTTCCCGAGCTTTCAATCCCGCGAATCATGCAGAGCCAGACAAATGTCCATGACAATATTAGACAAAGAACCATCCACCATTTTTGGCCCCCAGTTTCTTCAATTGATGCTGAAACATCCAAAGTTTCCCGATACCAAAAATATTCAGTGAAGGAGCTTTGTTCACACTCTTCTATATATCTATTTCATAAAAAGACGGTAAAATTAGGTCAGATAACCAATTCTAAGTGTCGTTGCAGTAGGACGACCATTCAAATAAGAGAAATACTGTCATTTTATAAAGCCCCAGATGTATAGTTTCATTGGAGCATTTAAGCAAGTGATTTAACGTGAAAAATGCAGCAAACGATAAAAATGCAACAAAAAAACACTAAAAAGTATAATTTTGTCCTGGCGTTGCCACAAAAACGGAATGATACAATTATTACTCACCCGGTACTTTGATTGTTTAAAGGACATGAAGAATAAGGTAGTGGATATTGAAAAGAGTTGCAAAGGTACCAGAAGCACCAAGCGATAATCATGTTGTAGTATAGACCGACTAAAGCTGATACAATCATGCTTCCAATTCCGATTCCCCCCAAATACGGATGGAATTTATTCCATGTCCCAATTGCTCCTTGTCGTAACCTTTGACCCACAGCAAGTTCGATTAAAAACAACGGAACTCCTTCAATCACCAACATGATTATGTACGGAATTAAGAAAGCTCCTAAAAGAGGATAGAATAAAATTGTAAGCATTTATCGATGCCAGTGTATGTCTGCATCAATGATTCGTATAATTCTTGTTGGACATGAAATATATTGCTGTTGTTGTTATTGAGTTATGAAAGAGCGTCACTAATAAACCAATTTACTTCAAATTTTCAGCATTTAAAGAGGGGAAAAGTCGCTAAGAACTACTACTCTTACGGTCCCACCGGGCCTGAAATTTCATTCCCAATTTTGCTGCTTTTTTAAATCTCGGTCACACATGACACATTCTTGTGATATTCGGTACAATTCTTCTAACAAAAACAAATGATACGGGACTTTGCTGATATTGCGAAAGCCATATTTTTAGTTGACCCCCGTGTACATGTTATATTTGAGTATTTTCCTCTTGTAAAATTGTATCCGAGTAAGAAAATACTTTGTAGATTTGAAACGCATATTTATAACTTGGAGGTTGACCTCGAAATTTTCTCAAAAATACGACATATGGAAGCTCTAATAAACTTATATCGTTTGAGTAGAAATGAAATATATATGTGCTATTGCTTTTCAGTTTTCCTGTCAGTATAAATGTGAAAGAAACATGATGTCTAACAGGTATCGTCGCAAATGACATGTTTGTTTATCAATTTTATTCACGAATGTAAATACTTGCAGATAGTTATTTATAGTGGGGAAAACTAAGGAATATGACCTTCATATCACACCTACTAAGATTCTATGTAAGTAAATTATAATACGTTGTAACTTTGGAACTGATTAATCAAATTTTATTGGGGTGCGATACTGCCTGTTATCGATAGTTTTGCCCAATGGTTTCACAACGCTTACTGCGTAGTTAATTAAAATTAATTTTTAAAATTTTAGAATTCTTCATGCTAGTTTCAAGTAAAAAAATTCCTACCTCCACCATATGTCTGGGCCAAATAAGGAAACCTCCATACATTTCCAAGTCCGACCGCATAAGAAATGCACGCCAAGAGAAACTGAATTTGATTATCCCATGCTGGGCGAGCCACATCAGATTCCTCCACATATTTTCCCATCAAAGTATGCTTTCCATCGCGAATTCTTCTCTGCTCTATTGTCTCGGGATCAAGTTTTAGACTTTCCATTTCAATTACTCTACCAGATTTATCTTCTTCGCCATCCTCAAAGGCTTTGTTATCGTTTCCAGCCATACTTAATGATAGACTGATTAAGAGAATATAAAATAAGAACGGAACTATTTTCAGTTATAAAATTGTTATATTATAGCAATATCCTTTTCAGTGATTTTAATCTATTCCTTTCAATATTCCTATACTATTCACTATTATCTTATAATTATGTTTTTCCGAAGAGCGTGGAAGTATACCATTTATGCTGGAGATTTAGGCTAATCTCACTTTTTGCAAAACAAAATTGATCAGTTATTGCTAAAAGACACAGCATTTGTATCTCAGTGACTTGTCATTCATTCATCTATGTAAGTATAAACTGGTGAACCCAACATTTCACAATAATTTTTTTCATTCAATACAAAATTTATAGATTGAATAAATCTACTACGTCATTTTTTTTCTTTTGTGGAGGCGCTCGTTAGTTCAAAAATGAATTTAGACCATTCTTCAAAAGCGTTTTAATTTATAGATCTACTGTTTACACAGTATATTGGCATATTAGTCACCAACTCAACTGTTTAACTTCAGTCAGCGGAGAGCAAATATCAATATGAATGTCATAATCGTAATAGTGTTTGTATAAGAACACAATTTTTGACCTCGTACAAAAGCATATATTTAAAGTAATTACACAAAAATTTGACCATGCGTCTCGTACTCCCATATAACCTTACTTCATGGCAATCATGCACCTTTATTGAAAAAACGATAGTCTCGCGTGTGGGGCACAAACACCACACAAAAATTGATCTTCAATTTCTGAAATATTTGGTTGTGTTCATTTCAAAATATCCTAAATCTCGTACTTAGAACTTTCCTTGGAGGGGTCATCACTCAAGACATGACTTTCTTTGAATATTCTATTGGACTCGAGTTAATGTGGAATACTACGTTGGATTGCAAAATCCACGACCTTGATAATGATGTTTTTTTAGAAAACGGAAAGACTATTTTAGAGATCAAAGTAGCACGCAATAGATGATGATGCCAAGTGTTCGTACATTGCAGAGTTTTGCAAATACAGGTATATATGTTGAAAGATACGCTTCTGACCTGATACAAGTTATACAGTTAATATTCAAACCAGAAATGCCCCGAAGAAAACTTTCAAAAAAATTATTTTGTCAACTATCGTCCGAAGGCCGGAAAACGCATAATTAATCGCACTGCACAAAGAGGCACTGCATTCAAGCGAAAGGCCAAGATCATCGTTAAGTAAATAAGCCAGAATAAACTAGTCTTATATAAATCAACATACTAATAACACGAATGGGTTAAATAACATTAAAATTTATAGTAAACAGTTTGCACTTTCGTCTAGTCCAGTAATCTCTTACCTGGAGGCTTTGAATTAAGTCAACGGATCGGACGTAAGTCATATCAGGTAAAACGTTCCGGAATCCAAAAAGACAATTTGACCGAGTTGAACTTAAATTGAGAAGAGGGTATTCAACATGACTCACAACTGAAGTGATGGATTGTCCGAATCTGGTTGGTGAGCTAGTCAACGTAAAAACCGAACGATATAGAGAATATTCGTATCTCATATCACTAATAGGTCGACACTGATTATCAATGAACCAATGAGTGGTTATTGTTCTACGGTATTCTCTCACGAACTGTTATCGCTTAAATACATACTGGAAAAGTCGTTTGAACATAGCGAACGAGCTTGATGACTACGCGAAAAATGCAGTATTTCCTTCGCAAGTCGTTGAACGAAAAATTTATCCTATCTTGTAAATCATGTTTCAACGCGTGATAAAGTTTGTTCAGCACATACTGGAGTCGTTCGTGTTACCAGCATGTTCTAGAAATTATTCATATGTAAACTATTCGAGTTTTTTGTTCGAGGCAGTAAATTTACTTCGCTAAATAAACTTTAATATAGTGGTTATCTTGTATTACTAAGAACTGATTACTTTCTACAAATGAATGCACTATAGCTACGTCAACAATTATGATGTGTTTACTCATGTATGCATATGTTTAACCACCAAGATAATTATATTTCTTAGTGTTTACAAATGTGTTGTACATCATGGTATTTTCGCATTCATTGTTTGTAAAACCAGATAAAAGGGTTCGGTCAGCTTAGTTAATGATTGGCATTTTATTTTAAAATATGGACAACGCAAAGGTGATTTTAATTATTATTCTTTTGATAATTCTACCGGATAATTGTATCGGACAGTGAGTGTTAATGGGAATATCATTCGTATGCTTTGTAAACTAGGAGCTCGAGTAAAAACATTTATTGTTTTATGACAGTTTCGGACAGTTACAAATGACATTTTGTGGACAAACAAAAAATCCTCCGATGAACAACCGTTCAAAACTTTAAACTTTCAATCACGAGCAACATACAGGAGCAATTACTAGACTACATACATATATTACACCTTATCAAGTAATAATATCGAAGAAAAGACAAATGAAAAAATAAAATTAGTTGTTTTTGCTGTACTGTAAGACTGTATAAATAGTAAAGCACAAATAAATGAAAACTCGACTTTTCATTATTTTTCGAGGACAAATTTTCATGAAACAAACCGCTAATGAAGCCACATAAGCAGAATAACAACACGAAAAAAAATATCGAAACCGCGCTTGATAGTATGCGTCACAGATGTATTATATAGATAAACCATGGCTTGTAACAAAAGAACAAATAAATTAGAGATTCTAATCTGCTTTATTACCACAGACAGCTTCAACATGGGCATGGCTGCTTATTGGACTACTTCGAAAATGATTTGCACCCTCCCCTGTGACAAAATGATCACTCAGAGTGATCGCGCTAAAATAGAAAGATACTTAGCACTTAGCAGCCAGTTTTGCGTCCTATGGATGGGTTACAGCATTATTGGAAACAAGGTGTAGATATATATATATATAGATCGTTTTGCTAATATTTTCTTGTTGTCAAATAAAGTCGTTTCTCCGTAAATACATGACCAATCGATTTTAAGTATTCAGTAGAAGACGTTAGAAGCCTATTACTTTGATTTTCCCAAATTTCCTCAGAGTCTTATTTGATACAGTTCTAAACCCATGATTCTGTTGTATCATTTCAAATCCCAGAAACACTGTTTTGCGAAATATGCGAACATCTTATCCCGATCGGCCGACTTTTTCAGCTGACGAAACAAGGCGAGGCCGTACCAGTACCGACACGCCTCTTTCGCTCATATACTTGAGCAACACACTCTATTTTCTCGGACGAATCATCTCCTAGACACGCTAGTTTACACCGATAGGCGCCGTCAATCAACAGTGTTTTCTTGACCTTTGAAATCTGCGCTAGCTAATCAGTGATTATCTCAAAAAGCACATTTTGGCGGAGATCCGATTGGACAACGTGTCGTGATCTCAGTCATACCTAATTCGCCCACAGATAATCCAGTGACCAGTTCACGATTATTTCGACACAATTCTGTTTTGAATCTCTGAATGGAAATTTCCAGCCCGACTATGTGAGAACATCTGTGACGTACCAGAATTATCACGAGCAATTACCAAATGTGGGCCACGTAGAAAGGAGTTGAAAATTACTGGAAAACAAAAAAAGTCCTAATTGCCAGACCTATTCATATTTGATCAGTTTTGACATGTCTAGTTTGTTTTGCTGAATTGTCTCCGCTTGGGCAAAATCAATTATTCATTTTGGGGGAATGGGTTTAGATTTTACAAATGATTAGAAAAGCATTAGCCTCGGATACTGTTTCATGTAACAATGATGAGTCTAACCATGTTTAAAATTTTCAACTGTTGAACTGAAATTATACGATAATTGTTTTACATATACGTTGAGTAAGAAATTTGAATCTACTCGTGACTCGACAAATACCGTGTATAAAAAATGTATAAGAGGAAAAATATTAATTTTTCATTTAGAGTTATAGTATTGTATGGGCCATACGGGTTATCATTGCCTTGTTCGTATCCAAGTTCAAGTGTTTTGCTTAGCATGACCGCAAATTTGCATGCATTCCTTATTAGATGTACGAAGAAAAATATTGTCGTAAAAGCGTTTTAAAATAAAATATCAAATTTGTCAGTGACAACGCTTTGAGCTAGTTAGTTATTATCTCCAGATAAACTGAACTGGCTGTTCATTGTTATATTTGAATACGCAGCAACAGAAATGTTCACTCATTTTAATCCTTTTGGTATATACAAAGTTTGTTATTACAACTAGGATCTCATAATTAAAGCATCCAAGAGCATATTTACTCAGTACCTCTGATTCATGCAATGAAATTTAACGCACTTTCAGCCCTCAGCGTCATAAATATTTCATCACAGCAACGAATCGTCTTACGTTTCTAAAAGTGAAGATTCTCAGTTTGCAAGGAATTTCTAAATCATAAACCTTGGTAATATCGTTTACTTTCTTATATGTATCAATTCATGAATGGAACGTAAGAGATAATAAAATATAAATAATATATGTTACATATTTCTCGGAAATAAGAAAACAATAATTTTCAATAACCAATGGTATTGTAGAGCATATTTAAATATATATATATATATACTCATTAATCTTGGGCGTCATTTTATAAATTCGCTGTCTCGTCTTTGCAAGTTTGTCTTTATTTTGTGCTTTCCTCATCTTGGGAAGGTTGCGAGTCTAAAGATCGATTCAATGAAATCGTGTCCCTCCAAAATCTCCGAGCAAAATTAGCGGGGAAAACGTTGTCACGCAATCTAGAGAGTCTACTCGAGGATCCGCCTGGAGGTGGACCGTTGCGATAAGGCGTCGAAGCCATCTCCATTTCATCCTCGGTAACTGGATAGATTTCGTTTCCTCCTGGTGTAGACCGACGTGGTTTAGGTCGGTGCTCATCATCATATTCCGATGAGTCATACCCATATCCATGGCAGAATCCACAGCATCCCGAGATAAATAACATCCAACCAGCGATATGTGCAAAAATACCACAAGCTCCAAAGTTTATGTCAGCAAAAACAGACGTGTATTTCTGAACGATGAACTGTGCAGTTCCCGTAATACAAAAAACACCTGTACGAAAGAAACAATTGTAAGAGTATTCTGCAGCTAAACCTATTTTGTCGAATATTGACTCTCCATGTCGGAATATTTTAAGAGGTCATCAGAGTGACCCTAATTAACAATAAAATATATACAAAACAATTTTATGCAAAGAAGCAAAAACATACGTAACATGGTCGAATATGGTTGCCTGGATACTATGAACTATTGGACATCTGTCTTACTCCGATTATATTCAAATTTAGTGACCGTGGCAATTTTTGGCGCTTTTATTTAATTATTTATATTGGATTACGCCTTATATTTATCTCAAATCAGCATCAGCATTTTCACCCCAGATGTATTTTAGAACAAATTAACGCAACGCCTATTTTGTGAATATCTATTCCAAAAATAAGATTTACCAGTAGAAAACGAATCATTCGAACAACAAAATGTGTACCTGATATAATATTCATGATAGCCATGTGACGAACATTTTCAGGATGAACTGAGCTACACCTACATAATGCTGAACAAATACCAACAAAATTCAACATCCAACTGGATAATATCCAGGGTAGAGGATCAGATACAACTTCTGTAAAGAAGATTGTGTTAATTTTTTACATAATAAACAAGTCACAATGGTATTAACATCTCGGATTTGCCATTAATCGGTTCATATTGCCAACAATTTAATATCTCTGTCCATATTACCATATTTTCAGCCTAGAGTAAGTTATCGAAAAACCATTCTCGTCACGTACCTGTATCAGTTACGGTACAGTTAACATACGCACTGCAACAGAAGAAAACACCGCAGTGTTTGTCGTCATCTTCCCTTGTCCATTCCGGAACTATTAAGCATGCTGTCAACAAAATCCAAGATCCAAAACCTGTTCCCCATAAGCCACGAAGTCTTTCAGTTGTAATTTTGCTAAAGCTCATATTAGTTGTGCATTTGGCAGAACTATATGCGCAAGTCGAAGATTTCACGAATAACGCTTCTGTCCACCGTTCACCTGACTACATTCTTATAACAGCTTATCAATATTCATAGCAGTCTATTTTTGGTGCTGAGAGGTTTTCGCACACTTACTGCGAGTTAATCTATTTTGTGACAATTGGTCTGTTGTTAGCAGTCCATTATGACAATTTGGAGCTACAAGCAAAGGAGTTTTAAAGTCCGTTCTAACTTCGAGTTTTCACGTAAAGTAAAGCATGCTGAACGGCGGACCGGACCTCAAGAAATCCTGGTATTTTTGTCCCGTTGAAAAAGCAATTTTACTTCTGGTTACCCAATGGACCTTTCCCCGAGCATCGACTTCCTTGTTTACTTCGTGACATTGGCCAATCAGCAAATTGCAAAAAGTGACGTAACAATGCATGCTTTTCGCATCCGCTCAGACACTTTTCTCACTCAGACAGATTTTTAAGCGTGGTCGTAAACATTACCTCGTTTTCGCATTTTTGAACTCTATTCGTTAGTTTTCAGTTGTGTTTTGGAAACTTAAATGTAAATCACATAATTCAATGGTGACCCTGTTTTCCTATGAGTTTCAATTTAATTGCAGTAATGAGAATTTGTGTAGAAATAGCTGTGATAGACTAGGCTAAAATTCTTTAACGGTACTTTTAAAAAACAGATTGTTGTATGCGATGAATCATAATGATGGTTTGAAACACGTACCCCACTCGCAAAAGCACGCTTAAAATAGCCCCGAAAATTTTGCAATGGTAAAGTATAGGAAGAATGTTTCGGGGGTCAAAGGTCGGGGAAAGATCCATCGGAGAGTTAGCCTGAAACTATGCGGGGATTTGCTTTTAAGTCTGCTTGGAGCGATATATAATATAGCGAACATGAATATATACTTGGCGATCCTACAAGCAAGTGGCTGGTAATACAATGCAGGGGTCGGCAACCTTTTGAACTCGGCGTGCCAGTTTATGAATAATGAGCACCTTCGCGTGCCAAACATTATTATGTGTATGGTTTGCATAGCCAACTACCTGATTTGAATAGTAAGCGGATGAGAAACAAATTTATTTTGGTACTCCCGTAATATGTGCACCATGATGGCGAACACCGGAACGTAGTGTGTGTACCAGATCAGGGTTAGGCCATAATTGCAGGTACAAATACTACGGGAGTCATTTGGCTAGTCCCCAAACTCGTAATAGAACTGAAATAAGGAAAATCGGAATAAAATTATGCCCTAACCCAGGGGTCCCAAACTCAATTTACCTGAGGGCCGCCGAGACGGAGCCTTAGTGAGTCCGGGCCGCATCAGGTTTTTCACAATAAAAGCATTAAACCTGAAATGTTAAATCTTTTTCTCTGTTTTTCTTTACGCAGAACATGTCAAAAACATAAATGTAAGTAATTATGCGATGAACCTTTCCCCGAGCATCTACTTCCTTGTTTATTCCCTAACATTGGATAATCAGCAAGACGCAAAAACTGACGTAACAATAGGCTTTTTCGCAAACGCTCATGAGTAAATTTTCCTCGGGGTCAAAGGTCAATCGAATATCATGCCTACAAGTACGGTACTAGTAGGTTACCGTACCGCATATTCCTTTCGGGGGGTAGATTATAAAATATTTTGTTTTGCTCTACTTGTCCTGATCATATATGAAATGCATCAATCATTCTAACTGAGCTGAGTGACTTACGGGCCGCACTAACATTAAAATTTCATACCAAGGCGGGGGCCGCAAGCTATCGTCCTGCGGGCCGCAATTGGCCCGCGGGCCGCGAGTTTGAGACCGGCCTAACCCAAACCTGGTACACATTCTACGTTACGGTGTCCGCCATCTTGGTGCACATACTACGGAGCGCCTTTATTTCATCGTTTTTGTTAGGGCTACATGTAGTGGGTATCAGAGTTGGATCAATTGTAATTTGAAATCGTAATTGATGTAATTAATTACAGTTTTTCATGTAATTGAGGCATTTTCATTTTGTGTAATTGTAAATGTAATTTGCTAAAATTTTGGCTCAATTGCACTTTTAATTAAACCAGGGGTCACCAAACTACGGCGTCCTTTCATCTGGCCCGCAATAACACGAAAAGGGGCGAAATATTTTTCTAGGAGGCGTTTTCCGAAAATCGCCTTCCTTTTTTATTTCGTAACATTAGCAAATCGGCAAGATGCGAAAAAAGTGACGTAACAATATGCCTTTTCACTTCGCATCCGTTACGACACTCTGACAGATCTTAAGTTGTAGCTGTAAACAATACCTCATTTTGCGATTTCGAATGCTATTCGGTAATTTTTAGTTGCGTTTCGGAAATTTAAGTTTGAATCAAATAAGTGAATCACCATATTGCCTTCTTAGGAGTTGTAGTTTAACTAATAGTAGTAATCGAAAATTAGTCTAGAAATAGCTGTGATAAAATAGGCTAAATCCATGGGAACACTGGCTGTCTGGTTTGATCTGTAAATTCTTGGTACGCGAAACTTGCAATTGAACTGAATTAATGTAATTATCAAACTCTGGTGGGTATCACTGATGGTAATTTGATGACAGGTGATTACATTTGTATGACTAGTGTCTTTGATAAATGATGACTCAAGTCCAAGTACAGCCTCCACAACACTGATCAGTAGGTATGCGCGAACATGCTGGCTCAATAAGGCCAAAGGTAGAAAAATTTGATGACAAAAAGTACCTATAGTGGCACTGAGTTTGCAAGTTCAAAATGGAGGACAGCCGTGACGTGGGCGGCCACATGCTACTAAATAGCTTGATCCGCAGTTACGAAGAAAAGCGATTTTCGCACCCAATAGTAGCCCAAACAACAAATCAAAATTTAGTGTCAACAGCGTCTTGACATAGACTTGGCAAACCGAACGACGGTCCAGCACCTTTGTCTCCGTACGGTACCTGCCAGCGTACGCACATGAAAGCGAGATAAATATAAATAAATATATATTTAAATAAACTGAGTCCTTGCTCACAAAATAGTATAAAATTTTTTATTTTTGAAAATAACGGAAAAAGAAGAAAAAGTAATAAAAAAGTGCTTGAGAGATCGCAGCAGACACTTTCCAAAATCCAACAAGAATGCTGTTTCAATCGTGACGCATGCCATACAAATTCAATTTCGGTAATTAATAAATTGCAGCATGGCCTTCCAAGGCCTATTTCATAACAATTAACGCTGAACTTAGAATGTAGCTGGACAAACTGCTATCCGGTATTCGGTAGTTCTAGCGCTAAATTATGCTGCACAGCCAAGACGGGTGTGACTTAATGTAGTTCAACAAGCTGGAAATGGTCTGAAAACAAGAATCACGTGTTAGCAACGTAAAGCAAGGCAATGGCACTATCTATAGCAGCGTTTCTCAAACCGTGTTCCGCTAGCATCTTTGAAGTGTTTCGCGAAATAGGGATCAAAATTGCGACTAAATTGGTCGCCATGCCACCCCCTATGCCTTGTCTGGAAATCATGGCATTTTCGTCAACCGTCGGCCTAATTTTTTTTTTTATTGTCAAGTTTACAGCAAACTTTTAATTTAGACCATAGGCTAAATGTTTTGGAAACCACTCTTCTCATTGGATTGTTGGCTTACAACTGGATGCCTCAAAAGATGTCGCGATAAGCCGGTTTTGCAAGTTGATGCACAAAGTAAATCCATTACATAATTTTTTTATTATCAATTTTACCCTTTTGATGTCAGCGAGGCGAGATAAAAAGCGTAGGTGTTTCGGGAAAAAAAGTTTGAGAGACGCTGATCTAAAGAATATAATTTACATATAACGGTCATCATAGCTACCTTTTAAAATCGCTGGCTGGTTCAGCAAACTTATGACGAACTAAAAATCCCGCAATTGCTTCCGCTACTTTATCAGGTGCGTCTTCATGAACTGCGTGACCAGTTTTAGACAATACCTTAATTAATGAGAACATGGGGTTGAAAAGGTAATAATGGTTTCACCTCATATTTCTAATTAGGATATGATTTTAATTTTATCCCAGAGGAGTGAAAGCCGAATAAGGCGGCTTAACCATATGGCGAACCACGGCCTATTGTCCATGTCGGGTATGGAATTAGTTAGTCAGGTATTTGTCTCAGATGCATGGACTTGTGCATGAAATTTTGAGGAATATGCTGCAACAGTCAAAACGAACCCCTAGTTCGTCAATTTTTTCAGATGCATAGCATACATTTTGGTCATATAATGTAATATATATTATATAAGTTACAAATGGCTCGTTCTAACGCAACGGGCGTTATCTTCCGTTCTGTGACCGATTGCAATTTCGTTTAATTACAAATATTGTGTACGTGATGACAAAAAACAATACCCTGTTGCGAATAACATTGAACTCGGACGTCAGCCATATACTCGGTTACCTGCATTTGAAATTTTCCTTGCATCTGTGCAGTCGTCAATTGCGCGTCTAAGCGATCAACTCCTGAAATAAACAATCTTTTTAGAAGAAACACGAGAAAATATGCCATAAGCAGTACTTCATTGTCGTTTTGTCATTGCCAGGTCCATAAGACACACATGGCTGTTGCAGTGAAGGGCAACAAGGCAAACGAGGTAAGTTTACAAAAATATGTTCGCTACCGTACATATCGTACATATTCTCATCACAATATATTTGCTCATTTCAACGACGCCAAGAATAGCTTATCTTGGCCGAAAATATTCCTTGTCATATGAGAGTCAGCGGAAAACAATTAAAAAAAACGTACCTGCTAACATTAACATTTTTGGGACATCAACGGATAGAAACATGGAAGACATTCCTTTGAACCATCCTTGCCAATATTTTGAAGTTTTAGAGAGATCGATTCTCCATGTATAATAATGAGTTTTTGAATTTTGTGGAAGGTGTGGGGGAGAAGTTTTGCTAAGAATACAAAATATTTAACATGAAATATTAAGTTAATGCTACATTTATCGAGAGACTATTAAACATTAAAAGCTGAAAAATCGAACTGGCATTCCGAAGGCTGTTAATATCCAGTTGCTAACTTTCCAGTCGAACACACGCAAAATCGTATTTCCATATTTTATGAGAAAAGTTTCCCACCGTGTGACAATAGTCTCTTACTGCTATTAAATGTGTATTCTGCTAAATGTTGTTCTTGCATAGAACCTATTGAAAGGCGTAAAAAGGTCATACAATAAAGGAAGCATTTCGTAAAATTTCGGTAAAGGGCTTATAATTGTTCTGTAAAACATCTCATAAAATTACTAATTCACTTAGCCGTACGCATGCACGTCAATACGGCTCAAATGATACAATATTCAAATTATAATTTTCAAAAATTTGATTTTGGTCATCAATTTAATTGTGAATGGATGATTCAATCTGATCTAGATGATGACGGCGGAAAATTTGAAGCGGACGTATTTGAGAGTTTTAGAGTAAAGGGCATACGTATAGTGACTCAAATAATCAGGAAGGCACCGATACTGTCCATGAATCAACGATATACGTAGGTCCGTCCATATTATACCGATTGGTCATCTCGACGGTAACATGCCCTCGCGATGACCAGGAAGTAGCCGAATAACATTCACTGTGTTCATTTAACATCGTGTGTCACTTAATAGATGATGAATAGAAATAGATTGCCTGAGAGTCTGGCAAGTGGAGGGTATTCTTAGGCATGGTAGGCAATAAGAATGAAACATTGTATTGAAGTTTTTTGTTATTATCAATTGTTAAAGGGCATATAGATATTATAGTTGCAGGTTTTTTATTTATCTCAAACACAAGTATGTATCGATTGGCGTGTTATTTAAATCACTTTGATACAGGATACAACATAGTTAGAGGTGTGTTCAATACTTGTCATGGATATAAGAGATGGAAAATATAACTTTCAGTTCTGTTACTAGAAGCGTTTTTATTCATTTTTATAAGACGCTCATCCACGCATTCGCTCCGAAAAAGGCCCTATACAAGTCGCCACTGATATCTATCGATATGCGTTTTTATTCATTTTTATAAGACGCTCATCCACGCCTTCGCTCCGAAAAAGGCCCTATACAAGTCGCCACTGATATCTATCGATATGCCAGGAGCTACTGTAATTTGGCTGCAGCACCAATATACGTAAAAAATAATTTTTTTCTAAATACTACATAATTACCAATAAATATACATGAAAATCCTCACAAATTACACCTATTACGCGTGAATTCCATATAAATAATTCAGACCAAATCCCCATATTTATCGCGCAATTGTTACGTCATTTATTCGTGTGAAGTAAATTTTAACGTATTTTTCCTGTTATCAATTTGATGAATTATGACGCACTTCGATGTTTATTTAATCTTTTTGAATCCGGAATGTAGTTACACCGTTATGCCAGTATATTTTACTATTACTGTATATTAAATAGAATTCGGAAGGAAAAATATCAGATTACATTCTTTCCTTCGAATAGATATCGAGATTTGTGTTAGAATGGCCGTACGCGCTGACAAAATAATACCTTAAGGAAACGAGAAATATAGAATTGGTTTCTCTTTATTTAGATTCAACGTGGAATGAGAGCTTGTGCAACAGCCTAATGTATATAGGATAATGTGATGAGTGCAGGACATTTAAAAATAGAAACAAAAAACAAATATCATGATAAATTGACTAGACCAAATTGGGTATTCAGTTCTGCGACGAGGAAAGATATAAGGGAATTCCAAACCACTTTATACCCGTTATCTCCTACTGTGCAGCTGGGGAACCAGCCTTTGAGTAAACACATTTTACATTTTATATACTTGATCTTTAAAAATATCGAGCGCTTCGTTAAATGAAATTTATCGATTTCTGGCATACGATAGTGATGATAGCGTTGGTAACGAACAATCAAACGCTGTAACCTATATTTCAGAGTGGGCAGTTGAGAGTGTACAGACTGCAGGGTAGTGTAGTTCATTCGAGCTTTTAGTTATAGATACAGAGTAGAATACGAAACCAGGAAATGATTCAGCGATAATCAAGAATGTTCAACGAAATAAATATGAAATACAATTGAAGATTCTTTTAAAATTTGAATTAGATGAGCAAGAACAAGACATTTTCCCTTTAACGTAAAAGTATAGGTCTATTACTATATAGCAGTTTCAGTTTTGACTTTCGATTGTACAAACACTACCACATCTAACATTTGGGGGAAATAATATTTTATGGCTTGAATATCGTAAATGTCAACAAACAACCATGTTAACCATTCCTTTTAAATACATTATAAAATCGAAATCTTCTCGCTGAGTCTTAACCGTTAATTCGTATGGACCTGTTATGTTTAACTTACGCCAACAGACTGCCAAAGATACGAACCTACGACAAGACTATATCATGCCCAAAACGGCACTTTGAGTGCTTTCTGAATTATCGTGAAATTTTTAAATGTTACCTCGATACAGCTACATTGTCGCAACAAGAAGACGATTCGCTACTTTCGTCGCTTTCTTCTTCTGTAATGGAACTCATTTGGGGTTGTGGTATCTCTGTTGAACTCGACGAATCGCTATAATGACGATTTGAAACTTGAATAGGTTCGACTAATCTGAAAAATTAACATAAGCCCATAATATGCCAAGGAACAAGGAGGTATTCGGATTATCCAATAGGAAAGGGAGATGTCTATCTATGATCAACATGTTCGGAATCCGCACAAGTACACGTCACATTTTTCAATTTTGACCGCATCATAAAATCCCATACGCCATTTTCCAAGAATTAGGCTTCCAGTGACGAAAATACTAACAATGATTAGGTACCGCCAGCCCAAACAGCAATATGACAAACATCGGCGTAGCGATTTGTTTGTCAATATAAATAACCAAAATTTTATTTCAGATATATTGATAATTCAAAAATTCAGTGTTGAAGTAAGTTTTGAGATGCTTTCAAAGTAGTATTTGTACCAGAGTTTGATCTATGAACAAATTAAGTAGAAAACCGCAACTTAAGAACCAAAAAACTCAAGAAACTAAGCCTTTGTTAAGCAGACTCTACCATATGGTCAAACACTATTTATTTAACTGGGTTACATCAACACCGAACTTAGTTCCTTCTAGTATAGAAGTGATACGTATTGTGGTTACGAGTTCACCTTCGATTTCGCTCACAAAGTCGTGAGCGAGTACAGAGATTTGATGAATGGATCACAACAAAACAATTAGTTAGCACAATTTGAGCTTAAAATTTAATATGGTACATGGTTTCGTGGTATTTTTCGTTGAATGTTATTTATAACATGTTAGTTGAGGGTGCGTGATTGCCACCAGGTAAACACATGTTGATAGCCGGTTGTGCTTCATTTACTATCAACATGTTAGTTGAGGGCTGAAATAGTTGTTAAATCCGTCACTTATGTTTTGGTGTGTTCGCAACTTTCACTATCATCTTATTTAGGCTTCAATAGCACTCACAATTGGTAAGTTACCAAATACATTATCGAGCGAAAGGGCTTTACTGGAAATGCCGTATGATTCATGCGATTAAGAACAGCATATGGCGCGTTACTCTCATATTAGTCAGAAAATGTATGCGCAGACTGTGTGAAAAACCGACCTTTAGTGAAATAAGCTAGATAATATTGAGTAGGCAAGCGTAAGATAGGAAATTTCATGAACAGGGGGTTAAGTTAAGTTACGGGTATAGTGTATGTGTGTATATATATAGTGTATGAAAAGTCAGAATTTGTAAATATAATTTTAATAACAACTTTATTGTGATCCGCGGGAGGTGTTGATTTTACTATATAATGCTTGCCATGAAAAGAGAACAGCAACTCCTGTGTTACACAAGTCAGTATGTTCCAAAATTAACTAACTTTCGTTTGGATTGGACAAGAATCAAGAAATAATGTGATTTGATGGTTCGTCTTTCTTGGCCATTTTTTTATATAAATAGTGATACATAATGCGCCAAAGTAAAAACAGATTATGTGATAGAAATTTAAGTCATAACCGACCGACGCAAAAGTAGGCCAGCAAATTGAAGTTATCCATATTTTGACATTGTACAATTATCAAGACGTAACGGTGTACTCAATCAGCGAGATTTTCTTTCACAAATTCTTGGCGAAAACTTATTATTATCTTACAAACGATGACATACCAGCATAGATACTCTTTTCCGTATATAATGGCGATTTTGAAATTATATCATTGGTAAATTTTGTCAATAATTCCAATTTATATGCTAACTCTAACTATATTCCCTACGTCGATTTACAGCAAAAGCACTGTCGACATTCCAACGTTCGTGGTTGGTTATAGTTATACCGGTTATACCGAAGATAATAGACAACACAAGATCTACTTCCTGGAAAAAAATAGCATCGCAGAAAAATATGTAAATTACTGCATGGGCGAAATTGAAATTTTACGATGATAATCTAAGACCATAAAATATTAATATTTGAATGTACTGTATAATTTAGTGAGCAACTGTATCGAAATTGAAAAAAAATAAGAGGGAATCACGATATATGTAAATGAGACGAGCATCGAATCATTCATTATAACTTACCTACTAAGATACTAGTTCATAATTTTCCCTATTAGCGAACAACTAATAAAAACATTTTTAATGTGTACCAGATTATATAAGTAGATTTTACAGCCTATATTTAATTATTGAGCATTGTGAAGCGATACATTATTTACTTCATGTCTTCCATCCCACGAGGAAATGACTGAGCAACAGAATGATAACGCCATAGACTTACGTGATTTGAAAGAATGGGAAAAGGCAGCTATACTTCAGGTATGAGATTATATATTAAGGATTTAGCAACGAAATAAAATTCGTACAAAATGGAGCTGTGGGAATTCTAGTGAAAGACGTATAGGCCATTTAACTAGTTTTATAGCCGTTATATCTGATTACGTTATCCTTATACTATTTTTGGATATTCAGTGTTCTACACTGAAATGTACAGAATTGAGTTGATTAAAATTTTCGGAGTATGATAATTTAGGTAAGTAAAACTATAGTTACGCTAAAGCGAAGCTAAATTGACAAAACATTGTGGTTTGATATAATAAGAGGCGAGAATTTTAACATTGTATATCGCAGGGTAGAGAAATAGGATATATTCATCTAATACTATACTAAAAGTACAGTGTGACCCAAAATAAAACAGAAACCAAGCCATTTGGAACATATTCTGAGTGAACATAACGTCTGTTTAAAGTCATACACAAACAGAAGTTCAAGTGTTAATAACTTTTTTACACGAAATTTATGGGTTATGTTTTGGGGCTCAATCTATATATCTTTATGATAATAATGATTTGTTGAATAATCAGGTTCTAGAAAGAAATCAACGAGTTCGGAAGCTGGAAGAAAGAAGAATTACTCAACTATGCGTAAGATTACAACTTAATCGCATGTCAGACAACAGATACTCAGACATGGAGAGGTAAATAAGATGTCATCGCCCACACTAAAATACAATGCTATTAACTAGAATTTAGATTTCACTTTCGGTTGAATAGATTCCAATTTTAGTTAAACCAATGGATGTGCTTAATTTGGCCTTTTTTGATTTTTTTTGCACATTTTGGCAAGGTTTTTAGTGGTTCTTGGCGTTTTCACTTTTTTTGCACGTTAACATTAACAAGGAGCAATAGTCGTTCTTTTGCGCGATGACTGGAATTTCTAACGATTCGGGTTGACTAGGTTAAATAATTTGACGCGTGGTATTATCATACATTTTAAACAGGCTAGTAAATGACTTGGTGAAACTTTTTTATGACTGTCACAACAATATGGATTGTTTGTAGGATACTTATTACTTATCGATTTTAATCGGTAAGTATGTTGATAGGTGTTTGTCTGTCTGTCTGTTAGATGCACGCGATATCTCACGAAAGTGAGATTGAATCTGCTCCAGATTTTGCATGTGCATTCATCATATGTCGTACCAGAAGCCTATTGATTTTGGATGAATTATGTCGTATAATTAGCTAGTTTTTAATTAATCAGTGATGGGACACAAGGTGTCACTATGGAGTAAGAGCGCTGTTTTGGGGATTCCCTAATTTTCGATCGATAAGTCTTCGGTCTCTGACCGATATTCTCGTTTGTTCATTGATAGATTGGACCGGGCTGCCTTTAGAACATCTTCAATAGAATGAAAATAAAATTTTAGCCGGAATAATCCAGTTTTTCTTGAGATAAGTAATTTAAATCCTCGAAATAATACCTTTCAGAATCGTTTTAACTCATTCGGGTTCATGGATAAAAGAAGCTACAAGTCGTAAGCCTACAGAAGATCCCATTCAACCACTTCGTAAACTCCTTACAAATACAATAAAGAGCATAGATCCAGAGAAACTGAAACCCCCAAAATCAACAGTAGATGAGCATCAGCGAAATACCCTTGGAACGAGAATACATGTCGACAGATTGCGAGGATTGTCCGGTACCGAAGACGATGAAGACGTTAAGATAGAGGAAGTGGCCTCACCAAGCGGTGAAAGAAGCAGTACAGAAAAAAGTCATCTCGACTATAATGATGATGGTTTTGTGTCTTGCGGCAGTGAATCAGATATGACAAATTGACGTCCAAAATCGTCGCAATTGATGTTGGTTAATCGAGTTATTGAGTTTTCCGTACAAAATTTTTGTCAAAAAGTTCTTCAGTGTGATTACTCATTGTTCGAGAGGCAAAGGAGATGCAAACATAGCCACGATGTCATATGGAAGTGGAATGTTAACAAAATATGCCTATAAGCGACATATTCAAAAACGCAAAATTCGTCTGAATGTGAGAGACCGCTCAACGTACGTACGACGACGTGCAATATATTATATTTTTGCTGAAATAACACAAATACATATAATATTAAATTCCTAAATTTGGTGTATTTATATATGTATCAGTGATCACAAGACGTTGATATCACAAGTACTAAAATATTTCTCTGTGAATTCCTTTTTATTTTATTTTTCTTGACTTTACGTTGCAAACACAATTAGATAAGCGTTCTACATTTAAACTTTATCAGCATCTAAAAATTGATCTAATATATTTTATTACTCCTACATTCAAATATCTTGCAAATTCTTTTTCTGTAGCAACTGCTAATAATTCGAAATTGAGGTGTTTATAAAAGACTGCTCATCTTGCGTTTTCGTCCTACTTTTATTACGTCACAATCATGCACCCTTATTGTTTATTCGTATTTGCATTTATTTTTGTAAATACATGAAATTCTGTATTTGTAATATAACAGAAAAATCGACATTTGATTCCACCTGCACTGCCCCTAAACATTGAATAAGTTGTTTTGGTGGTTATTGGTATAATGTTATTTCCAAAGTGGTTATTTCCACCCAATACATCACGACCTGAAGCCGAAGATGACAGTCCAGATTATTCTGTAGTCAGTGCTCACAATTTGATTTACTTGTAGTTGAGTGCTGAAGTCCAGAGTGTAAATGAAACAAATCCGTACAGTTGCTTAGCTTAGGATTATCACATCAATTGTGCGTAGGGACCGTAATCTTGTGAAAATCATGAAATGAAAATTGTAGGCAATGCCTGCTGGTATATTATTACTATATCATGATCTCCCTTCCAACAAACTTCAAAGAGACATGTCTCATATACAGAGTATCCTTGTAGTTTAAATATTAAAGTTTATGCTTTTAATGTTTAATGCACCCTGTGAATATGGACAGAATGGCTTAGAAACAAAAAGGATTGTGCCAACATTTCCTTGCAACTGTGTATGAACAAAAATTCTAACCTTTTGAGCTGGCCAATCATAGATACTTTTGCTGATTCCAGATTCCTGACATATCCTGTTCTTACACTGTAAAATGAATCAAGGATATGATGATAATGATAATGAAAATATTAGGAAAGATGCATACTTCACACAAGTTTTCTATTAATTCTATCCCGAGTAACTCTCTTGAGAAATCTCAATGGGTATCTACACAATCGAATTAGCTGATTAATTGATGGTGATTCAACATATAATTTAATAATCCGAGGTTTGAAACAAACAAATTCAAACTTTTGCTCACAAACGAGTAGAGTGAAGTGTTTTTATACTTGATCCAAAAATGTACACATAACCTACCACCACTCTGTTGCTTTCTCCGCACTTTCAAAGGACTGGGGCCGGTTTTTCAGGACTCCTTGCATAGCATGCAAACTTTCTATAGCTGATCCTAAAATTGAACAATAGCGTCAACTGTATTAATAAATTTGGAGGCCCTTTTGGAGAACAGATAATTCAACTTGCATTTTTTTTGCATTGTTACACTACTCTTAATTAAAATAATTTAATGAAAACCGAAGCCCAACAAATAGCAAAGTACGAAGCTAGTATACCTAAAATTATTACATATATATATAACCCTAACCTATGTGTATGCACTGAATGCAACAAAATGGGAAAAATCTACCTTCCACAACATCTATGACAATAAGGCCAACAAGATTTGGTATTTTATTTTTTGCTGCAGCATGAATGGCAATCGCTCCTCCCATACTATGTCCAACTAATATGACTGATGCTGTAGATGAAGATTCAGATATAAGACCATTTACAAATTCACCGACATCTCTAGAAATGAATAGACAAATGATAACAATTTACAAATTTAGAGAAGGAAGTTATAAAAATGCAGTATAAGTATCAGTTATGATCGAATAAGACTGGATACAACAACGTAGTAAAAATGTCACATTGAATTCATACTCAGAAAGTCGTTCCGCAGATAAATCTGTGTCGTTTTCAGTTGACGTCTGACCGTGTCCTCTCTGGTCAAAGGCAATACACTGACAATGGATCAAGTTGCACAGAGATTTCTTAATAAAATATATAAAACTGACTAATAGAGTGAATTAAAGCTTATCTGAAACATTGAGAATATAGTCGTGACTCGTAAGTACAAATTTAAAAGCACACATTTGTGTTTACCAAAATTTCTCTTTTTGAGCATCGATAAATTTAATAGCCACCACACATGCTTATAGAAAATAATATTTTTTCATTGCAACTCTTTAATATGAATCAAAAATTTTCAAATGCAATTATCCCGCTTATTGGAAGTTGGGTCATTTTGTCAGCTGTTTGCAAGTCCCATGTTTCTGAAACTAATAACTGGTTAGCTATTCTCATGTCTGATATAATTACTATTTCAGACATATCGTTTGTTTGTCATGATTGAGCAGTCCCACCAGCCATCCTCTCTTCAGAGATGAGATTGGCAATGATAATATGATGGCTACAGAAGTATACTGCGGTCACAGTCAATAACATAACGAAAAAATTATTGGAATACACTTACAGAAAGAACAGCCCAACTTAAACCAGAGAATCCACCACCATGCAAAAAAACGATTATCGGTCCTTCTGTCCCCTTTCTATACATGTGAAATACAGAATTGCTCTCATCTATTTGAATCTTTCTTTCCGAATCATAATAGGTGGTCCAAGCAGTTGTGGAATAATCCTTCTTCTTTGCTTGGGGCCTTAAAAATTGAGATCTTGTTAAATCAACCCTTCCCCACAGTTCTGAGGGGGAATTCTGATCAGAAAACCTTTGATATCGTTCAAAACATACAGAATATAAGATGGAAGGTTTTTCCAAAAAGAAGCGGTTCGTGTTCACTCACCTAAAATTATTTAAATTAATTCACACACACAACCATAGGGCTATAATAAAGTTAGAAAAAAGAGCTAGAAAAAAGAGCTTTAGATAAATTCTATAGTAAACAAACAAAAAAAATAAATAAGTAAAAAAGAAATAAAAATTGTAATTAGAAATAAGAATTGTTAGCCACATCGTTTTAATAATTTTATAAAAATTCCCAAATTGACTACAGATTATGTAAACAAGAGTGAACAGTATTTAATATGAAGACCAAAAAAAAAGGATTTCGCCAAGCTGATTATAGTTGGAGTCAAATGCCAAATTGCCCAATCAAAGTTGCCAAAGATAGATTAACAAATTCAAGTACAGGTTTTCTGAGGAATTTGTTTTATTAGGAATTAGGAGCTCAAAACTAGGCCAAGAGAGGAATATGTCACAAAAAGGTCAAGAACCACCGTGTAAAATAAAATAAAAACAGGCAAAAGCAGCATTCGCAGACAATGAAAATTAGCTGAAATAAGAAATACTTGTGATTTTAGCCCAACTACTAACTCTAGTTGGCTGAAATATGATTATTTCCGTATATCTGCATATGGTTGGAAAGAAGAGGAGTGAGAAACAGAGGCTTATTGAACTTATAGTACCCACTTTTCAAGCTTTAGAAATGTATCTTTGATTTATTTCAGGTATTTCACTTGACCATCACAATACTGCAATATCAATTACAACTTGATGATTTGTTTTGAGGGACACACAGACAAAGGATACTGAAAACAGCATGGGCCCTAACCACAGAACTATGCTGTTTTATGCAATAAAACTCGGCTCGGCGGTGTGGCATAATGCTAAGCATTAGGAATACGCTCGCCACGGCATCTCTGATTACCCTTCGTGGAATCGCAGGGCGAATCCCATGCGGGGATGATCATGTGCGAGAGGATTGCTGGACTCCTCGCCGCCGTAGGGTGGTCGGTTACGGCTTCCTCCTCCATCAAGTCCATGCTTCCGAAAACAAATAACTGGCTAACTAATCCCATACCTGACCTGGTAACCAGACGAGAGGCCGAGGTTCGCCATATGATTAAGCCGTCTTATCGGCTTTTCTCTCCCCCGGAATAAACATGTAAATCCTATCCTAATAATCAAAAATCAATCCCATCCCAGAATTCAGAAAATATAAAACTACATCATCACACGATGAGCAAATATGTGAATTACAGTAATATAATTTGCGATATGTGCATAAGTACCGGTATCGGTTTATTTCGACTCCATAATCTGCAATAGACGATAAAATAATAGATAAAAACAAAAAATAAAAGTAGTCTACCTGGAATAAGGAGTAACCTTCGGCGGTAATCCACTTGCGCCCTGCAACTTCCTCTGAAGCGCGGACATTGTACTGCAGATTAGACTAATAGTCTACCGGTATCAATCAAGTATCAAACTGCAATCTGGCAGACCAACATGGAGGATAATTTCTCAGAAAGGACCCCGGACAAGTTGGCTAATGCAGAACCGTAGTTGTAGCGCCGGATTCTGCAAGGGTGACTGAAATGCAAGCGTCGCGAAATTTTCACTTGTAAACTGCGGAAACTAGAAGCAGACGTCGATTTCCGCGAAAATTTCATACGGCGGCAAGTGAGGATAGGTTTTATATAGAGGACTTGCACGCGTCACGTGACTTTGTTTACTGGACGGCAAAGTCAAGTCAAGTCACCATCAACGAAGTGCTGTCCGCAAACAGTGAAACACAAAAGAGATGACTTCTGAACTTGACACCAAGCAGTCCTGCCAATACAGCAATAGATGATATCCACATTGAGCGACGTTCCGGATATTTTGAAAACAGTGGAATATAACTAAAGATTCATTCCGTTGTCTATTCTATACTATACGTACAGCCAACGGTACAATACGAAATACCCATTTTCAACAGCCAAACAAAACGGAAACGTATAATCCGATTTGCAACTGACAGGAGCCAGCTGGACGTTTTTATTTATTTTTTGCTGTCCAGTAAACAAAGTCACGTGACCCGTGCACGTCCTCCATATTTATCCCGGGGGAGAGGAAAGCCGATGAGACGGCCGGGTACCAGTCTATGTCGGGTAAGGGATTATTTGCCAAATATTTGTTTTCAGATACATAGACTTGATGGTGGATGAAGCTGCAACCGACAAGCGGTTACGTGACCACCCTACGACGCGAGTCCCGCAATCCTCTAGCACATAGGTTCTCAAAGTGCTCCGTACGGAGCCCCGGGGCTCCGCGAGAGAAACCCAGGGGCTCCGCGAGCTATTCGATTACTTTTCAAAATACTGACCAATTTTGTAACTGTTCAAAGAAGCAATAACAGCTTTGATAAAATCTGACAAAATTATAGCCTCGAAATTTGGCAAAGAGGCGCAATTAAAAAATAACATTATTTATAAGCAGGAGCGCAGCCAGGAGAGGGGGTGGTTCAAAATTAGAATCGGAAATTTCCGCGCAACATTCGCGATTTAAAAAACGGATAACGAGATTGCTGTTGCGTAAAATATTTAATCCATGACCTATGCGAGCATTTAACGTGTCTCGTCGTTATAATGTAATTGTGCTCATCGTTACTCGCGTTTGATTCGAGATTACTATTAGGATTACTAAAATTGAAGAATACTATTCTAAAAATAACATAAAATATGTGATAAACTGCCAACTATTAATAAATTGGAGTCGTATTTTTGCGATCTTGGGATTTGTCAAACTTGATTTGTTCTTTCGCACTTGAGATTATTTTTAAGCAAGATATCGTCGTTTAAAAATTCACAATGTCTGGGCAAAATACAAAAAATTGAAATTTATTTTATTGCATTCGGCTCGTTCGGTAGTTTCAGAATGAAAAGGTACATCGCGGATGGCGCGCACGATTGATTGCGTGCGGCTCCGCCGGTAGTTTCAAAATGGGAAAAAAAGGTACATCGCGCGTACAATTGACTGTGTTTCGATTTTGCAGTTACTACGATGAAAACCTAACATAACACCAAATTTTGTGATTTTCAATGTCTATAAAAGCGTTTTCAATCAGTGGTGAGTCTGCTGAAACCAAACGTGTGATCTTCCATTTAAAGTTTTAGTTTTAATATTTTAGAATGCCGCTTTTCAATCAAGAAATTTGAGTTGCGGATTTACCTCTTTATTAATTATTATTTTTAGCATTTCGTCGCCGATGACTATAAAATGATAACATATTTTTTACACTGAACTCATATTTCCCCACGAGAACAAAAAAGCAATTAACGTCGTCGCTGTGTAACAATACATGTATATGCCGAGGGAAATTCTTGATTTAGGGAGAATAAACACTGGCGAAAAGATGTTTAAAGGTTCAAAAACACGCCATGCTGGAGGAAAAAAATCGGCGATTGTAACAAAATGCAATCGCGCACATTATTAGCGGCCTTTTAAGTCTTCCAAAAATGTCAAGAGGGAAAAAATTTGACCCCTAATTTATTATGTTTGTCAAGTGTCAAATTTACAGCTTTAGTATAATATATAATTTATGTTTGAAATTTAGATTCATTTATGACTTGTATTAACCCTATTAAAAAGGTTCAGCATTTAAATTGAGTAAAGTACTTTTAACTTGCTCAGGAATATTAACCTGAAAGTAACAATTTTAACATTTATTTTGGGGCTCCGTGAATAATAGTCAACATTTTCAAGGGCTCCGCAACACCAAAAGTTTGAAAACCCCTGCTCTAGCACATAATTAACCCGCATGAGATTCGAACCCACGCAGGGTAATCAGAGGTGCGGTGGCGAGCGTATCCCTAACGCTAAGCACACGCGCCACACCGCCCAACTGAATAAGAATTTTCATATCCAATCATAAGGTTACCATTCCGCTTCTGGTATGGAATTAGTAAGTCAGTTATCAAAGATTACCAACTACCAAAGATTCAAATAAGACTGTTTACTAATAGCATGGGGAAGATCATCGTTTACTTCGTCCAAATTTGAATACTTTTATGGATGAATTATATTCTATTGGTATTGATGACTTCAGCAGCATCCAGGATCCCAACATATGCTTTGATAAATTCTTTGCTAAATTCTCTACTGCTTACTGCTTTCCGTACAGAAAACAGACAAACAAATTAAACAAACCTTGGTATGGTAGTGAGTTACGCAAACTCAACAAAGATAAACAAAAACTTTATAAGAAATTAATAAACAATAAAAACATAGATGATAAGCACAGGTTACAGTATGATGAATGCATGAATCTTTATGCTCGACTGCTCCATAAAAAGAAATCAAAATATTATATGTCTAAATTTGCTTCTCACAAAAGCCATATAAAGTACAATTATTACTATTATTAATACAATTATTAAACTAATCGGTAAGAATAAAACCAATTCATGTCTTTTGATTGGACTTGAATGCAGTAATACACAAATTGCCAATAAATTTAATGAACACTTTTCCCAAGTGGCTCAAAGCCTGCTCGACTATATGCCAGAACCAGCTAGCTGTGACAAGATTGCACTTCATATCTTGGGAAGCAAGAATCCTCATCCATGTTTTTAAGGCCAACTACATCATTAGAAATAAAAAAAATATCATACGCGAAATGAAGCCTAAGTTAAGTTTTGGAATTGATGGTATTCCATTCAAAATAATGAAATATGTTCAAGAACATATCATTGATTTTCTGAAATATATATTTAATCTTTCACTATCTTGTGGATTATTCATTGGAGGCTTCAAGACATCCAAAGTTCTTCCTCTGTTTAAAAAAGGTAGTGTTTCAGATCTTGGAAACTATAGACCCATTAGTCTTCTACCATCGTTTTCTAAGATTCTTGAAAAAATAATGTATAGTAGAATCTCAAACTACTTTGAAACCAACAATGTTTTCCACTCGCATCAACTTGGTTTCCGCAAGCAACACTCCGCTGCTATGGCTGCTAATGTTTTGGTATACAAACTGACCAAGGCGTTTGAAGGCAAACGACATGCAATTGGAATATTTCTTGATATTTCAAAAGCTTTTGACACCCTTGACCATTCCATCCTTTTAAGTAAGCTCTATCACTATGGAATTAGAGGCGTCCCATTCAATTGGATCAGGAGCTACCTACAAAACAGGAAACAAGTTGTGCAATATGACAATTCATTCTCTATTAATATTTGTGTCATGGAGCACGGAGTTCCTCAAGGATCTTTACTTGGCCCATTATTTTTTTTTCTAGCTTACATTAATGACATGTCTAGGTGTCTGAAATCCTCTGAGTCAATCATGTTTGCTGATGACACTGACTTAATTCTTCATGGGAAAAACCTTGAAGATATATTCATAGTTGCGAACCAGGAACTAGCCAACATCCATAGCTGGATGTTAGTTAATAAATCATCTCTCAATGCTAACAAGACTAAATTTGTTTATTCCATCCAAGCAAACATAAAAGTGTGAGTTGTACAAAATCATCTGCTGCTCAATGGCAATGAAATTGTAAAATTGAAAGAAATAAAATTTTTAGGAATTATCTTTGATGAAAATCTGTCATGGAAATCACAAATATTGCATGTTATTGGTAAAACAAAAAGAAACTTGGCAGTTGCTGCCAAAGTTTCCCAGTGTGTCAATCAATGGCTTTACTAGCAATGTTTCAATCATTATTACTCAGCCATATCCGATATTGTTGCTCAGTCTGGCTCCATGGTAATAAAACACTTGCAAAATAAAAAATTGCAAAAAAGTATTTGTAATAATTTTTTAAGAATTGTTTTCAGGAAAAGTGAACGTGAAAGTGTAAACCATTTCTATAAAACGCTAAATATACTTAAAGTTGAAGGTATAATGAAATTTGAAGTATTATCATTAGTCTATGATTTTCAAAACAATTCCTTGCCAAACTGCTTCGAAGACATACTAACTAAAATTACTTCCAATCGAAGAAGTAGTTCCAATTTGTTCATACCTTTCATGAGTAAATCTGTGAGCCAGCATGCCCTATGGCCTATGCTATACTGGGCTGTGGAATTCTCTCCCCTTGAATTTGACGACATTGAAATCCAAAAAATCATTTCAGAAAAAAGTTAAGTCCAACTTGGTATCCAAATATTAAAAGTTATTATTTCAGAACCACACTGATATATATTTTTCGTATGTAATTGGCTACAACTTCAAAAGAAAGACTATGACATAAGTTGGAACACTCTTCACTTATTATACTTATACTTATTATTTTCATGAAAATATTGTACAGCCATAATATTGTTATCATCTCTTAGATTGATAATTTATTTTTGAACAAGCAGTCAGTCATTAAGCCCTCTTCATTTGTTTTGCATTCTAGATGGCTATTAATTTTGTTCTATAGCATGCATATTATAAGAATTTTCCTCATATGGCTGTTCACATTCTGACATCTGCATGCGCATGTTTCCTGTTTTTTCAATGCTGGGTTTCTGATATTCCACACGCATGATCTTTGTTTTCTAATTGGGTGGTGTGATCATTTGTGAGGGTTGTAGACGGTACAATTTAACTCTTGTACCTATTATTGTGATTAGGTGAC